ACAAACTAGACGTACGGTCGGTACAAATTAGACGTACGGTCGGTACAAACTAGACGTACGGTCGGTACAAACTAGACGTGCAACTACACAACATTCTTTCAGTAGATAGTGGAAAGGTGTGTTATTTGTACTCGCTATAAAACCAAAAATAAAATAAGAAAAACTTCATGTGGAATCAACAAAGTGATACCATATAGCCTACACCAACAAAGTGATACCATATAGCCTACAACAACAAAGTGATACCATATAGCCTACACCAACAAAGTGATACCATATAGACTAAAACAACAAAGTGATACCATATAGCCTACACCAACAAAGTGATACCATATAGCCTACACCAACAAAGTGATACCATATAGCCTACACCAACAAAGTGATACCATATAGCCTACACCAACAAAGTGATACCATATAGCCTACACCAACAAAGTGATACCATATAGCCTACACCAACAAAGTGATACCATATAGCCTACACCAACAAAGTGATACCATATAGCCTACACCAACAAAGTGATACCATATAGCCTACACCAACAAAGTGATACCATATAGCCTACACCAACAAAGTGATACCATATAGCCTACACCAACAAAGTGATACCATATAGCCTACACCAACAAAGTGATACCATATAGCCTACACCAACAAAGTGATACCATATAGCATACAGAAAGTGATACCGTATAGCCTAAAGAAAGTGATTCCATATAGCCTACACCTACAAAGTGATACAACGTGCCTGTCGTCAGGTAAATCCGTCCACAAGTTGAATCATACAACTTACCTGTCGTCAGGTAAATCTGTTCCACTAGTTGAATCATACAACTTACCTGTCGTCAGGTAAATCTGTTCCACTAGTTGAATCATACAACTTACCTGTCGTCAGGTAAATCTGTTCCACTAGTTGAATCCTACAACTTACCTGTCGTCAGGTAAATCTGTTCCACTAGTTGAATCATACAACTTACCTGTCGTCAGGTAAATCTGTTCCACTAGTTGAATCATACAACTTACCTGTCGTCAGGTAAATCTGTTCCACTAGTTGAATCCTACAACTTACCTGTCGTCAGGTAAATCTGTTCCACTAGTTGAATCATACAACTTACCTGTCGTCAGGTAAATCTGTTCCACTAGTTGAATCATACAACTTACTTGTCGTCAGGTAAATCTGTTCCGGTATGGTTGGCTGTGACATAAGGTTGGATGTGGGGTTGTGTGGACACTGTAGATGTGGGGTTGTGTGGACACTGTAGATGTGGGGTTGTGTGGACACTGTAGATGTGGGGTTGTGTGGACACTGTAGATGTGGGGTTGTGTGGACACTGTAGATGTGGGGTTGTGTGGACACTGTAGATGTGGGGTTGTGTGGACACTGTGGATGTGGGGTTGTGTGGACACTAGATGTGGGGTTGTGTGGACACTGTAGATGTGGGGTTGTGTAAGGGTGATAGCTGTGGTGTATGTGTGGTGGAGGTGCTGTGTGTGGTGGGTTAGGTGAGAGTGCGGTGGGTATTATGTGTGTAGTGCTAGGGTGGGAATGTGGGGTGGGGAGTGGCTGGGTTGTGTGTGTGTATGTGTGTGTGTGTCTGTGTATCTGTGTATGTGTGTGAGTGTGGTGCTCTGTCTGTGTATGTGTGTATGTGTATGTGTGTCTGTGTGTGTATATGTGTGTGTGTCTGTGTGTGTGTCTGTGTGTGTGTGTGTCTGTGTGTCTGTGTATGTGTGTGAGTGTGGTGCTCTGTGTGTGTATGTGTGTGGGTATGTGTGTCTGCGTGTGTGTATATGTGTGTGTGTGTCTGTGTGTCTGTGTGTGTGGTGCTGTGTGTGTGTCTGTGTGTGTGTATATGTGTGTCTGTGTCGGTGTGTGTATGTATGTTTGTGTGTGTGTGTGGTGCTGTGTGTGTGTGTGGTGCTGTGTGTGTATGTGTCTCTGTGTGTATATATGTGTGTCTGTGTGTGTGTCTGTGTGTGTATATGTATGTGTGTATGTGTGTGTGTCTGTGTGTGTGTCTGTGTCTGTGTGTGTGTCTGTGTGTGTGTCTCTATTTCACGACACGACGGAGTGAGCTGTAACCGGGTCAACACTGGCCAGATTAATTGGACAAATAATCAAGTTCTACCAGGTTCCGTCAATGAATGCATGCCGGTGTCCTGTTTCCAGCTGTCCGAATGCTTGATTCCGTCTTCAAACAAATGGCCCGACCCCCGGGACTAGGCCCTACCCCCGGGACAAGGTCCTCTATTGAACGCCGATAGACCGCCGACACTCGGGTTAAGGTTAGGGTTACAGATATGATTGCTGCGTCTAGGGGCGTGGCCAAGATTTGGTCGAGATAAGAACAAAATTTTCAAGGGCCAGAAACCTACTCCATGATTCCAGAAGATGACATGTTCGCTGTTTATTTTAAATTTAGCGACATGTTCGCTGTTTATTTTAAATTTAGCGACATGTTCGTTGTTTATTTTAAATTTAGCGACATGTTCGTTGTTAGCTTTTAAATTTAGCGACATGTTCGCTGTTAGCTTTTAAATTTAGCGACATGTTCGTTGTTAGCTTTTAAATTTAGCGACATGTTCGTTGTTAGCGACATGTTCGGTGTTAGCTTTAAAATTTAGCGATATGTTCCTTTTTTTATTTTTTTTTAATTTAGCGACATGTTCGTTGTTAGCTTTTAAATTTAGCGACATATTTGTTGTTAGCTTTTAGTTCTTCAGGCATCTCTTCCTTCGCCCCTTTTTTCCCAGCCCCCGAAAGTTTAAAGTGCCTCGCCCCAAAGAAAAAAGTCTGAAAGAAACACTGAAAATGTTTGTTGTTATTTAAATTAGCGACGTATTTGTTGTTAATTTTCATTTTCTAGTTAGCTACTGTCTCGATATAGGCTGTTTTTTTAGCTGTTTATCTTAAACTGGTCTACAAATGTCATAAGCTGGTCTACTAATGTCATAAACTGGGCTACAGATGTCATAAGCTGGGCTACAAATGTCATAAGCTGGGCTACAAATTGTCATAAACTGGGCTACAGATGTCATAAGCTGAGCTACAAATGTCATAAACTGGGCTACAGATGTCATAAGCTGGTCTACAAATGTCATAAACTGGGCTATAGATGTCATAAGCTGGGCTACAAATGTCATAAGCTGGGCTACAGATGTCATAAGCTGGTCTACAAATGTCATAAACTGGTCTACAAATGTCATAAACTGGTCTAAAATGTCATAAACTGGGCTACAGATGTCATAAGCTGGTCTACAAATGTCATAAACTGGGCTACAGATGTCATAAGCTGGGCTACAGATGTCATAAGCTGGTCTACAAATGTCATAAGCTGGGCTACAGATGTCATAAGCTGGTCTACAAATGTCATAAGCTGGTCTACAAATGTCATAAGCTGGGCTACAGATGTCATAAGCTGGTCTACAAATGTCATAAGCTGGGCTACAGATGTCATAAGCTGGTCTACAAATGTCATAAGCTGGGCTACAGATGTCATAAGCTGGGCTACAGATGTCATAAGCTGGTCTACAAATGTCATAAGCTGGGCTACAGATGTCATTAGCTGGTCTACAAATGTCATTAGCTGGTCTACAGATGTCATAAGCTGGGCTACAGATGTCATAAGCTGGGCTACTGCAGTAAACGAATATTGATTTTATCAGATGACAAGCAGAAGTGCTTAAATTTGAATTTCTAATTCGATAAATCAGATTTTTGAACAGTGTACACCGTTGTGGGTGGCGATAATCCAACTAATCCGTCTTATGATTTAATCCACAGAGGACACGTCTAGGTCTAAGAACTCAGGCGAGGTTCCTTAGATTGATTCTACGTGCAACTTCTTGCACAGTCATACTGGGTGCAACTTCTTGCCACGACTTAGCCACTGTTTTATTCCAAGGGGAGCAATCGATAGTTTTCGAAAAGAAACGTTTTTTTTAATATTAGTGATTACCGCCCTTCATATAAAGCAACAAATAGTTTTGCAATGTTCAATGAATACACTGCTAGTTCACCTAATTTTGTCCACTGATAGTTTATTTACTTCACTACATCAAGGGACACAACACCTTCTTGCTTTATTTGTTCGTCTATTTATTTTAATTAATTTATTTTTTGGGTCAAGGATGAACTTCTGACAAATAATTCAAAATCCCATCCTTCCACTGTCTGTCTGTTTGTTTGACTGTCTGTATGTCAATGTCTGTTTATGCCTATGTGAGTCTATGTCTGTGTTTGAATGCCTGCAAATCAGTCCGTCCGTCCTTCCGTCCGTCCGCTCATCCGTCCGTCTATCGGTCTCTCTGCCTGCCTATCTAGCAAGAAATTGACTGCAACTGATTAACCTGACATCAAATGTTCACCTGACATCAAATGTCCACCTGACATCAAATGTTACCTGACATCAAATGTTCACCTGACATCATATGTTCACCTGACATCAAATGTTACCTGATATCAAATGTTGACCTGACATCAAATGTTGACCTGACATCTGATGTCCACCTGACATCAAATGTTCACCTGACATCTAATGTCCACCTGACATCAAATGTCACCTGACATCAAATGTTGACCTGATTTCCCCAGCAAGACCATCCTCCTCCAACATGTCAGTCCTGTTTGCTGACCCCCCCCCCCCTCCCCATCCAACATGTCAGTCCTGTTTGCTGACCCCCCCCCCCTCCCCATCCAACATGTCAGTCCTGTTTGCTGACCCCCCCCCCTCCCCATCCAACATGTCAGTCCTGTTTGCTGACCCCCCCCCCCTCCCCATCCAACATGTCAGTCCTGTTTGCTGACCCCCCCCCCCTCCCCATCCAACATGTCAGTCCTGTTTGCTGACCCCCCCCTCCCCCTCCCTCTCCTCCCACATTTTGGCTTGAATCAGCAGAGGGTCATATTGATATTAAGAGTAGGGAGTGGGTCATAGCACGCAGGTAGCTACACAGGTGAGTGTGTACGGTCTAGCACACCTCATTAAGAGTAGGGAGTGGGCCATAGCACGCAGGTAGCTACACAGGTGAGTGTGTACGGTCTAGCACATCTGATTAATGTTGGCGAGATTCACAAAGTGGCCGTAGGCGACGTTATTAATCCCCAAAACAATGAGGTTAGTGTCGTGTTGATATTGCCAAGTTCCGTGTCCTCTATATATTGTCAAGTTCAGTATAATTTTATATTGTCAAGTTTAGTGTCCTGTATATGTTGTCAAGTTCAGTGTCGTTTTTATATTGCCAAGTTCAGTGTCGAGTTTATATTGCCAAGTTCAATGCCCAGTTTATATCGTGAAGCTCTTGTTTGTTTGTCCGTGTATGTGTCGCACATTGAAATTATTAATGACGTTCTCTGACAAGTTGTAATGAAGGTCATGTTGGTGTAATGAAGGTCATGTTGGTGTAATGAAGGTCATGTTGGTGTAATGAAGGGTGGGGGGGGGGGGGTTGGGTAGAGATTTCAAACGGTAATATTGGCCTTTATTTAAAAGGTTGCCAGTATACACAGTAAACTAAAACACAAACTACAGACAAAAATTATTGAACTACAACACATGCAGACGACACTTTGTGAACAGCATTAGCAGACGACAATTTGTAAACTGCAACACTTGCAGACGATAATCCGTCCTTGTCATTTTTACCTTCGGGGCGTGTGGCAATCTCCACATCTTTGTAACGTCACGTGTGACGTCATCCGTCCACACAGCGATCTGCCGTGCTGCTGCCGGATAGCTGTGTAGTACGTCATCAAGTTGACTGTTAACCTCTTTAAGGTCGTGTCAAACGTTCAGTTTAAAGACAGGGTACACAGGTAGGGCGGTGTTTCATGTGTGTCATTCTGTGTGTGATCTGTTTTTGACCTGTGTCATTCTGTTTGTGATCTGTTTTTGACCTGTGTCATTCTGTTTGTGATCTGTTTTTGACCTGTGTCATTATGTTTGTGATCTGTTTTTGACCTGTGTCATTCTGTTTTTGACCTGTGTCATTCTGTGTGTGTTGAGCTAGGTCTGGTGTCAGCAGTAGGCCTTTTTATAGCTGGCCTAATGTTCCAGCTAGGCCTAATGTTCCAGCTATGTCTAATAATCCAGCTAGGCCTAATGTTTCAGCTAGGCCTAATGTTCTAGCTAGGCCTAATGTTTCAGCTAGGCCTAATGTTCTAGCTAGGCCTAATTTTCTAGCTAGGCCTAATGTTCCAGCTAGGCCTAATGTTTCAGCAAGGCCTAATGTTCTAGCTAGGCCTAATGTTTCAGCAAGGCCTAATGTTCTAGCTAGGCCTAATGTTCTAGCTAGGCCTAATGTTTCAGCTAGGCCTAATGTTCTAGCTAGGCCTAATGTTTCAGCTAGGCCTAATGTTCTAGCAAGGCGTAATGTTCTAGCTAGGCCTAATGTTCTAGCTAGGCCTAATGTTCTAGCTAGGCCTAATGTTTCAGCTAGGCCTAATGTTTCATCTAGATCTAGGTCTATTATCAGCTAGACCGCGCGTTTGCTGGTAAAGAAAGCGTTGTCTGCTGTTCGTATATGAGATGAAACGTTCAAATTAAAATGTTTACAAACAGTAGCGTACGCAGGGGGGGAGCAGGGGGAGCAGCCGCTCCCCCTCTGGCCATTTTCAGCAAAGTGGCGCCTTTTTGGAAACTTTTTAAACTCAAAGTTTTAAACAATGATATTTGTTAAAAAAATATTTTTGTTCGGCACATCTTTGTAAATCACAAGATTTCTTTTCATGCAGCAATTAAGCATTATTGTACTAGTCTAGTACTGTCTACGTTTACAACACGTATTAACAGCTGCATCAGTTTGCCGTTCTAAAAATAACCATTACGATGCAATGCAATGCAATGTTTAAAAAACATCTACGGGTGGTACCACTTGACAAGAGGAGTGTTAAGTTTAAATCCACGGTATAATGTATAATGTATTTGTTTAAAAATAATTGAATAAGAAAATGTTATACTTAAAACTTCACACATAATTACTTTATATATACAGTTTGAATCGTGTGATTGATTTTTTTTAAAATTACAATACAGAAACAAATACAACTACTGTGACACCTCTATTTAAATTTACGTATGGGCAAACTGCGTAGCGGTGGGGAAATTTTGACAAGGTTAAACAACGTCATCATGATGAAGTAGTAGTATTCTTACAGTTTGGGCGATACTGATTAAGATTACAAATTATATAAAACAGTATTAACTTTATATTAATTATTATTTTAGTTTACTAGATCTAGATCTATATTTAAATTTGAATAAGGCTATATTTTGTATTTAAAAAACAACTCAACTTAAACTAACCCTGATAGCACAGTTAATTATCCGCTCAGCTGATGTATCGTTTGAACTTGTTTCCAATAGTTAGTAATTATAAAAAAAAAATCGCACCATTTAAATTATTTGGTGTATCATACTAACTATATTGCGACTAAGACAACAGTTGAGCTTAGAATTCGTTAGTTAAGAGGTTATTAAATGGAAAGGAAACCAGAAAAGAAAAAATATTCGGGGTGGGAGGGGAAGAGATTGAAAGAAATTTCAGAGCGCCAACAATCGTCATCCAAATGTGTCAAACTGGATACATATTTTTCAAGCTGTACGCCTTTAACTGCTACAACAATACAACCAGAGGTTGATGTGTCTCAAGATACCCAAGTACAAAATGTACAAGCAACAACATCATCTAATATGCAGAATAAGTCGTCGAGACTCAAGACAATAAGGTAATGTCTATAGACATTTTAGAAGACACCCATTTAGAAGAGGATATTGACAGTACAATGCCAGTCAAACTTAAAGCTATAATCGATATAAGTCTGAAATATCCTACAGATCCTTTTTTGTTTTGTGAAACACCCATAACACCGGATCTAGTACATGCATTACTTGAGTTTGGTCCTTGTCAACCAGGCCTCAAAGATACTTATAAAGATTTTCCAAAAAATGTAACTGGTCGGCACTTTAGTGCCAGTTGGTACAAGAAAAAACCCATACAAAATGTGGTCGTGAAATAATACGACACTGGCTAGTATATTCGCCCAAGGCAAATTATATGATTTGTTTTGCTTGTTGGCTCTTTAAACACAAGTCAGCTCTTTAAACACAAGTCAGCTCTTTAAACACAAGTCAGCTCTTTAAACACAAGTCAGCTCTTTAAACACAAGTCAGACACTTGGGGCGATCCAAAATTGGGTTGTATGAACTTTGCAAAAGGTCCCGACAAAATTAACAAACATGAAAACTCTGAAAGTCACAAGATTGCAGAGAGAGAACTTTTAATTACAAAATTCCGACTTTACAAAGACAGAACCATAATATGTGACATTTTAACATCAGAAAAGAAGGAAATAGAAAAAAAACCAGAGTAATACTGGAAAGTATTATAGATGCAGTTCTCTATTTGGGAAAACAGGGATTGGCGTTTAGGGGCCATCGTGAATCCCAAGGTTTAGGAGAAGCTACATTAAATGAAGGCAACTTTTTGGAACTTATTAAACTCATTTCTAAGAAAGATGATTTGCTAAAACAACATTTACTTTTCGGTGACAGAAATGCAACATACTTAAGTCCGGGTATGCAAAACGACTTAATTAAGTCTATATCAGCCCAAATTTTAAAGAAGATAGTAGGTGAAATTAAGATAGCTAGGTATTTCGCTGTGATTGCAGATTCAACTATCGACATTAGTAGAATGGATCAATTTTCTTTGTCGATCAGATATGTTACTGAACATGGAGACGCCATCGAAAGATTTATCCAATTTTGTGAGCTTCCTGAAGCTAGTGCAGAGGTTTTTTTTTTTAAAATGCTTCTTACAGCAGTCACAGACTTAGGGCTGTCAATGACCATGTGCTATGGTCAGTCCTACGATGGAGCAAACACCATGTCTGGTGAAATATCGGGCGTACAAAAATGAGTTAGAGAAATAGCTCCACATGCATTCTTCACACACTGATGTGCTCACAATTTAAATTTAATTCTGATAGATGCTGTTTCATCTAATATTCAAACACAGCTGTTTTTTTGGAGTTCTGGAAAGCATATATACATTTTTTACCGGAAGTCTACCTCGTCTTTCTATATTGCAAGAGGAGCAACGCAACAACATAGAAGCATTTTCATTAACACTGAAACGACTTAGTGATAAAAGATGGGCTTCTAGAAAGACAGCAGTAGATTCTATATTGCAGAATTTACCAGCACTAGTTCTTGCATTGCGAAGAATAGTTGACGGTGAAGTTAAAAACTCTACTTCTAAACAGATTGCCGAAGGAAAGGGAATTCTTGTTACAATAGAGACCTTTAAGTTTTTAGTTGTTTTAATGTTTTGGAAAAGAATTGTGCATAAGGCTTTTAACGTATCCATTTATTTACAGAAGAGTAGCATTGATATGTTAACAGCCTTTCGATTAATTCAGATTTTTGAAAATGAGATGAGTAGCTGGAGAAATGAATTTGAATCAGAATTTGAGCAGATTGAGAACGAAGCCACTGAGCTCGCTGAGAAATGTGATATTCGTACGGAGTATAAGCAGCACAGGTTATACAAACGAAAAAGATTCCATGACGAAGGAACAGAGGATACTCAGATATCTGACTCTAGGAAAAAATTCATTGTTCAAACTTATTTAGTGTCACTTGACTCTGTCATTACTAGTACAAACACAAGGTTTCAAAATTTTAAAGATGTGTCTTCCAAGTTTTGTTGCTTAGACCCAAAACATTTAGCATTAGATGACAGTTTAATACAGTTGGAGCAATTAGCAGTGACGTACTCGGATGTTGTTGAAAGTGGAACTGAAGTAGTGCAGGAATTCGTATCATTTAGAACATTTTACCAAGAAGTTTTTAGTGCAAGCAGTGTAAACAAGGGAGTTTCAACTGAAAAAGAACCTCTAGAAATAGCGGTGACAGTAAACAGCATTCTGAAATTCATGATAGCTAATGACTTGTGTTCTGTGTATCCAAACCTGTCCACTTTGTATCGTATATTTCTGACTTTACCAATAAGCAGTGCCGGAGCAGAAAGATCCTTCAGCCGTCTTAAACTCCTGAAAACATACATCCGTTCTACTATGAACAAAGACAGGTTGTCCAGCTTAGCCCTGATTACGATTGAACGACAATTAGCTTCTGATGTTGATTTAAAAGACGTAATTGATCGTTTTGCTAAAATGAAACCTCGACGAAAAAGGATGTTGTAGTTCTAACAGAAGTTCTAGAGTACAGGATAAAACAAAATTGCTATCAAACGTGTTACATAGGCCTTACTAAATACTGTTTCTTTTTTAATTTAAAATGAATACCGTTTTGTAAAACTGATTAAGCAATAAAAAATATATTCATTTACGCGTCTTATGCATTCCAATTTTTAGAAGACATAATGCAATTATAAAGTAAATTGTACGAGGATGACAAAAACAGACTACGCCCTATTTATATATATATATATATATATATATATATATATATATATATATATATATATATATATATATATATATATATATATATATATATATATATGTATATATATATATATATATATATATATATATATATATATATATATATATATATATATATATATATATATATATAGAACATTACACATTCGGCGCCTTTTTTTGCTATTTTTCGCTCCCCCTACACTGAAAACCTGGATACGCCTCTGTTTACAAATTATTGTTTTATACAAAACAAAGATCTAATACTTGTCCCACACCCACTTCGTCTACTTGTCACATCAACATAGGCGTCGCGAGGAGGGGGGAGGTGCGGACAGCACCGGGTGACACCATTTGGGGGGGGGGGGGGGGCAACATCACCTAAACATGAAAACTGTTGAGAAAACAATGTTACATCCAACTGTATTAATAAAAGACTATAGATAATTAGTATTAACTGGCGGTGGGTGACAACAACTGCAAAATGCAGGGAGGTGTCACCAATACCCACACACACACATATATATATATATATATATATATATATATATATATATATATATATATATATATATATATATATATATATATATATATATATGTATATAAGCTATACTTTTTCTTTTGGTGGTGGGGGTTACACCATGAGGTGCCGCAGTGGGTGACACTCGACCTAGCGACGCCACTGTCCACCAATATATCCTCTACTTGTCCCATCAATACATCCTCTACTTGTCCCACCCCTACATCCTCTACTTGTCCCACCCCTACATCCTCTACTTGCCCCACCCCTACATCCTTTACTTGTCCCATCAATACTTCCTCTACTTGCCCCACCCCTACATCCTCTACTTGCCCCACCCCTACATCCTCTACTTGTCCCACCCCTACATCCTCTACTTGCCCCACCCCTACATCCTCTACTTGCCCCACCCCTACATCCTCTACTTGCCCCACCCCTACATCCTCTACTTGCCCCACCACTACATCCTCTACTTGCCCCACCCCTACATCCTCTACTTGCCCCACCCCTACATCCTCTACTTGCCCCACCCCTGGCTACAGGACATTACCCCCCTGTATATCTCCCTCCCCCCCGAACATATCCCCCCCGTATTTACCCCCCGGAGCAATTACCCCCCTGTCAATTACCCCCCGGGGAATTACCCCCCCCCCCCCCCTCTCAAGTTAAAATCCTAACTCTAACTAGAATTTTTTACCTATATACTACTTTAATCCAAACCTTAAGAAAAAGACCAAAACTTAAGCATCCACCTTAGCGTAAAACTTCACACAAAACCAAAACCAAAGCTAGACACAACCCTAACCCTAACACTAGCTCTAACCCTAACCCTTGCCCTAACCCTAGCCCTAACCCTAACCCTGGCCCTAACCCTAACCCTAACCCTAGCCCTAAAACCTAACCCTAACCCTAGCCCTAGCCCTAACCCTAACCCTAACCCTTGCCCTAGCCCTAAACCTAACCCTAACCCTAACCTTAGCCCTAACCCTAGCCCTAAAACCTAACCCTAACCCTAACCCTAGCCCTAGTCCTAACCCTAGCCCTAGCCCTAACCCTAACCCTAACCCTAGCCCTAACCCTAGCCCTAGCCCTAGCCCTAACCCTGTCCGGGGGGGGGGGGTAATGTCCTACTGGGCGGGGGGTAATTGACAGGGGGGGTAATTACTCTGGGGGGGGGGGGGGGTAATGTCGGGGGGGGAAATATCCGGGGGGTAATTGACAGGGGGGAAATGCCCTGTTCCCCCCACCCCTACATCCTCTACTTGCCCCACCCCTACATCCTCTACTTGCCCCACCCTTACTTCCTCTACTTGCCCCACCCCTACATCCTCTACTTGCCCACCCGTACATCCTCTACTTGCCCCACCCCTACATCCTCTACTTGCCCCACCCCTACATCCTCTACTTGCCCCACCCCTACATCCTCTACTTGCCCCACCCCTACATCCTCTACTAGCCCCACCCCTACATCCTCTACTTGCCCCACCCCTACATCCTCTACTTGCCCCACCCCTACATCCTCTACTTGCCCCACCCCTACATCCTCTACTTGCCCCACCCCTACATCCTCTACTTGCCCACCCCTACATCCTCTACTTGCCCCACCCCTACATCCTCTACTTGCCCCACCCCTACATCCTCTACTTGCCCCACCCCTACATCCTCTACTTGCCCCACCACTACATCCTCTACTTGCCCCACCCCTACATCCTCTACTTGCCCCACCCCTACATCCTCTACTTGCCCCACCCCTACATCCTCTACTTGCCCCACCCCTACATCCTAAATATTTCCCAGCATGCTCGAGCTGATGACGTGGACGGAAATCATCGAAGACCTCAAGGTTGAAGGGAATTTCAAGATGGCCGCCATTTTCGACCTGACCGGCACGAAAATCGCCGAGACTTCCGGTGCCGCCCTAACGGAAGAGGACGCGGTGGGCGTGATGAAAGCCCTGGACGCCGCCGCCTCCATGCTGTACGGGCTGTTCCTGTTGGGGTCAAAGTTCAGCTGCATCAACGTTGACCCATCCACCGTCATTGGCCAGGCCAATGGTCACGTGTTTGTGGCCAACCGGAACCAGAACCTTCTCGTCTGCGCAGTCTCAGACGCGCCGAGCAGGACTTCCTGTTTGGGGACGGTCAGGAATTTTATCAGCCGGCTGGGGACCCAAGGTGCCCCTGAGGCCTTGGTGCCCAGCCTGATGTAAACCTGGCAAGGGCAGAGAGGACTTGCCACGGTGCACTGTGCTGCTATACCAGGGTGCACTCTGGTGCACAGTGCATTGGGTTAACGCACACTTTGATAAAATAGGTCTCATCAGGACTAGTGGTCAAAATACAGAGACATCACTATTCCATTTTAAGGGACATAACTATACCAGCTTCATTCCAAGGGACATCACTGCAGTAGTTTAGTTCCAAGGGACATAACTATACTAGTTTAGTTTTAATTTAGTTTCAATTGAACGCTCTACCTATGTAGCTGTTTTAATTACGTTAAGTTGTGATCTACTTTTGTCTGCACTATTAGCATGCTGTGTTTTATTTTGAGTAAAGAAAAAAATACAAGATATCAAAAAAAAAAACTATTAGCATGCTGTCCCCACCCACCCTTCCACCCACCATATCACGACTTAAACTGTCCTTAGCTGTAGATATGTAAGTTAGAGTATGCCCAAATCTTAACCTGTGTGTCCTTATGTGTAAGCCTAAGTCTGAAGTATATGTCCCTATGTGTTGTCGCTGTGTGTATATGAGTGTGTACGGCCAAGTGGTCGATTGTTAGCCTCTAATAGATGTAATCAGCACACAGGATGAGAGTAAAAACATTTGACTAAAGCACTTGACTAAAGAAACATTTGACTTAAGCACTTGACTAAAGAAACATTTGACTTAAGCACTTGACTAAAGAAACATTTGACTTAAGCACTTGACTAAAGAAACATTTGACTAAAGCACTTGACTAAAAACATTTGACTCAAGAACTTGACTAAAAACGTTTGACTAAAGCACTTGACTAAAAACACTTGACTAAAAACATTTGACTCAAGCACTTGACTAAAAACATTTGACTAAAGCACTTGACTAAAAACATTTGACTAAAGCACTTGATTAAAAACATTTGACTAAAGCACTTGTCTAAAAACATTTGACTAAAGCACTCGACTAAAAACATTTGACTAAAGAAACGGTTGACTAAAGCACTTGACTAAAGAAACATTTGACTAAAACATTTGACTTGACTAAGCAAACAATAAATATAACTGTCCTAACAATTCACATTATATAAACTTTTTCAAAATTCTGTGGAAAAATATTTAAGTTCAATAAAAAATTAAAAAGTTACTTCTGGTTTGTTCCACTTATTCATAGGTGCTGTGTCTAATTATTCTTATGTTTATAAGTTAATTAAATATTGCATAAACATTCAGTCTCTTACATGGGCTCAGTCTCTGGTTAACCAACCGCCAACACTTTCCGGTTAGACAACCATTTAACCACCAACACTTTCCGGTTAGACAACCATTTAACCACCAACACTTTCCGGTTAGACAACCATTTAACCACCAACACTTTCCGGTTAGACAACCATTTAACCACCAACACTTTCCGGTTAGACAACCATTTAACCACCAACACTTTCCGGTTAGACAACCATTTAACCACCAACACTTTCCGGTTAGACAACCATTTAACCACCAACACTTTCCGGTTAGACAACCATTTAACCACCAACACTTTCCGGTTAGACAACCATTTAACCACCAACACTTTCCGATTAGACAACCATTTAACCACCAATACTTTCCGGTTAGACAACCATTTAACCACCAATACTTTCCGGTTAGACAACCATTTAACCACCAATACTTTCCGGTTAGACAACCATTTAACCACCAATACTTTCCGGTTAGACAACCATTTAACCACCAACACTTTCCGGTTAGACAACCATTTAACCACCAATACTTTCCGGTTAGACAACCATTTAACCACCAATACTTTCCGGTTAGACAACCATTTAACCAGCTACGCTACCCGGTTAGCCAACCATTTAACCAGCTACGCTACCCGGTTAGACAACCGGTTAGACAACCATTTAACCAGCTACGCTACCCGGTTAGCCAACCATTTAACCAGCTACGCTACCCGGTTAGACAACCGGTTAGACAACCATTTAACCAGCTACGCTACCCGGTTAGCCAACCATTTAACCAGCTACGCTACCCGGTTAGACAACCGGTTAGACAACCATTTAACCAGCTACGCTACCCGGTTAGCCAACCATTTAACCAGCTACGCTACCCGGTTAGACAACCGGTTAGATAACCATTTAACCAGCTACGCTACCCAGTGCACAAAGAGCTCACGTAGCTCGCCATAGCGAATAAATACTGGCTCTAATTTATTAAAATGACGTCATATGTTCCCGGTGACACAGAACATGTTCCCGGTGAGACGGAACATGTTCCCGGTGACACAGAACATGTTCCCGGTGACACAGAATATGTTCCCGGTGACACAGAACATGTTCCCGGTGAGACGGAACATGTTCCCGGTGACACAGAACATGTTCCCGGTGACACAGAACATGTTCCCGGTGACACAGAACATGTTCCCGGTGACACGGAACATGTTCCCGGTGACACAGAACATGTTCCCGGTGACACAGAACATGTTCCCGGTGACACGGAACATGTTCCCGGTGACACGGAACATGTTCCCGGTGACACAGAACATGTTCCCGGTGACACGGAACATGTTCCCGGTGACACGGAACATGTTCCCGGTGACACGGAACATGTTCCCGGTGACACAGAACATGTTCCCGGTGACACGGAACATGTTCCCGGTGACACGGAACATGTTCCCGGTGACACAGAACATGTTCCCGGCGACACAGAACATGTTCCCGGTGACACGGAACATGTTCCCGGTGACACGGAACATGTTCCCGGCGACACGGAACATGTTCCCGGTGACACGGAACATGTTCCCGGTGACACGGAACATGTTCCCGGTGACACGGAACATGTTCCCGGTGACACGGAACATGTTCCCGGTGACACGGAACATGTTCCCGGTGACACAGAACATGTTCCCGGTGACACGGAACATGTTCCCGGTGACACGGAACATGTTCCCGGTGACACGGAACATGTTCCCGGTGACACAGAACATGTTCCCGGTGACACAGAACATGTTCCCCCTGAGATCTGCCAGCGACACACAAACATCTGTTTCTACAACTTGAATATGATGTAAGGGAGACAACAATAACTAAGATCGCCTAAATAATTCTTGGGTTACTTCCCTTGTATTATCTTATTTTTATTTTATTTATTTTTTCTGTTGTTCTGTGTGGGGCATTTGTCCTGACGACAATAAGAGCACACTGTGGGACATTTGTCCTGACGACAATAAGAGCACACTGTGGGACATTTGTCCTGACGACAATAAGAGCACACTGTGGGACATTTGTCCTGACGACAATAAGAGCACACTGTGGGACATTTGTCCTGACGACAATAAGAGCACACTGTGGGACATTTGTCCTGACGACAATAAGAGCACACTGTGGGACATTTGTCCTGACGACAATAAGAGCACACTGTGGGACATTTGTCCTGACGACAAGAAGAGCACACAAGAATTTCCTCACGACCTTGAACTTGTCAAAACCACCTGTAACATTGCTGTCACAAGCCGAGATGACACTGCACTGTTCTGACAGGTGGAGCAAGAAGTTGTAAACAGGTGTTAGAGACAGGTGTTAGAGACAGGTACAGGTGTAAGGTAGACGTGTAAGATACAGGTATAAGGTACAGGTGTAAGGTAGAGGTGTAAGGTACAGGTGTAAGGTAGAGGTGTAAGGTACAGGTGTAAGGTTGTAAGGTACAGGTGTAAGGTAGAGGTGTAAGGTAGACCTGTAAGGTACAGGTGTAAGGTAGAGGTGTAAGGTACAGGTGTAAGGTAGACCTGTAAGGTACAGGTGTAAGGTAGAGGTGTAAGGTAGACCTGTAAGGTACAGGTGTAAGGTAGAGGTGTAAGGTAGACCTGTAAGGTACAGGTGTAAGGTACAGGTGTAAGGTAGAGGTGTAAGGTAGACCTGTAAGGTACAGGTGTAAGGTACAGGTGTAAGGTACAGGTGTAAGGTACAGGTGTAAGGTACAGGTGTAAGGTAGACCTGTAAGGTACAGGTGTAAGGTAGACCTGTAAGGTAGAGGTGTAAGGTAAAGGTGTAAGGTAGAGGTGTAAGGTAGACCTGTAAGGTAGAGGTGTAAGGTAGACCTGTAAGGTAGAGGTGTAAGGTAGAGGTGTAAGGGTGTAAGGTAGAGGTGTAAGGTAGACCTGTAAGGTAGAGGTGTAAGGTAGAGGTGTAAGGTAAAGGTGTAAGGTAGAGGTGTAAGGTAGACCTGTAAGGTACAGGTGTAAGGTAGAGGTGTAAGGTACAGGTGTAAGGTAGAGGTGTAAGGTAGACCTGTAAGGTACAGGTGTAAGGTAGAGGTGTAAGGTACAGGTGTAAGGTAGAGGTGTAAGGTACAGGTGTAAGGTTGTAGGGTACAGGTGTAAGGTAGAGGTGTAAGGTAAAGGTGTAAGGTAGAGGTGTAAGGTAGACCTGTAAGGTAGAGGTGTAAGGTAGACCTGTAAGGTAGAGGTGTAAGGTAGACCTGTAAGGTAGAGGTGTAAGGTAGAGGTGTAAGGTAGAGGTGTAAGGTACAGGTGTAAGGTACAGGTGTAAGGTAGAGGTGTAAGGTAGACCTGTAAGGTAGAGGTGTAAGGTACAGGTGTAAGGTAGAGGTGTAAGGTAGACCTGTAAGGTACAGGTGTAAGGTACAGGTGTAAGGTTGTAGGGTACAGGTGTAAGGTAGAGGTGTAAGGTAGACTTGTAAGGTAGAGGTGTAAGGTAGAGGTGTAAGGTAAAGGTGTAAGGTAGAGGTGTAAGGTAGACCTGTAAGGTAGAGGTGTAAGGTAGACCTGTAAGGTAGAGGTGTAAGGTAGACCTGTAAGGTAGAGGTGTAAGGGTTTACAGAAGCTTTACGTGACGTGGCTATTTTAGAACGAAGAAATATGTCTCGAGCTGGAAATAAGGCTCATGTTTTAATGAATTGTCCCGGATGTACTAAGATAATTTGTCAAAAAACATTTTTTCCGGAACAGTTGGAATTACAAGAGACAGGGCATTGATATGACAGTTGTTAGTTTGTTGGGGCCAGTCATTGTTTGAATGAGTGCTGTCTTAGATGTGTGCTGTCTTAGATGTGTGATGTCTTAGATGTGTGCTGTCTTAGGTGTGTGCTGTCATGTGTGCTGTCTTAGATGTGTGCTGTCTTAGCTGTGTGCTTTCTTAGCTGTGTGCTGTCTTACATGTGTGCTGTCTTAGCTGTGTGCTGTCTTAGATGTGTGCTGTCTTAGATGTGTGCTGTCTTAGATGTGTGATGTCTTAGATGTGTGCTGTCTTAGATGTGTGCTGTCTTAGATGTGTGCTGTCTTAGATTGTGCTGTCTTAGATGTGTGCTGTCTTAGATGTGTGCTGTCTTAGCTGTGTGCTGTCTTAGATTGTGCTGTCTTAGATGTGTGCTGTCTTAGATGCGTGCTGTCTTAGATGTGTGCTGTCTTAGCTGTGTGCTGTCTTAGATGTGTGCTGTCTTAGATTGTGCTGTCTTAGATGTGTGCTGTCTTAGATGTGTGCTGTCTTAGATTGTGCTGTATTAGATGTGTGCTGTCTTAGATGTGTGCTGTCTTAGATGTGTACTGTCTTAGTTGTGTGCTGTCTTAGCTGTGTGCTGTCTTAGCTGTAAGCTGTCTTAGATGTGTGCTGTCTTAGATGTGTGCTGTCTTAGATGTGTGCTGTCTTAGATTTTGCTGTCTTAGATGTGTGCTGTCTTAGATGTGTGCTGTCTTAGATGTGTACTGTCTTAGTTGTGTGCTGTCTTAGCTGTGTGCTGTCTTAGCTGTAAGCTGTCTTAGATGTATGCTGTCTTAGATGTGTGCTGTCTTAGATTGTGCTGTCTTAGATGTGTGCTGTCTTAGCTGTGTGCTGTCTTAGATTGTGCTGTCTTAGCTGTGTGCTGTCTTAGCTGTAAGCTGTCTTAGATGTGTGCTGTCTTAGATGTGGTTGTTTTATTAGTCAGCTTCCCCCTGTTAAACCTGATACAAATAACAGTTTGTATCAGCTAGATGTGCTGTCATAAGCTAGAAATGCTGTCATAAGCTAGATGTGCTGTCATAAGCTAGATGAGCTGTCATAAGCTAGATGTGCTGTCATAAGCTAGATGTGCTGTCATAAGCTAGATGTGCTGTCATAAGCTAGATGTGCTGTCATAAGCTAGATGTGCTGTCATAAGAATTAAGATCTGTTATGTTTGACGGCTACCCCTAGCTTAAAAGCCGCAACAAGAGAAATAACTCTTCCGCTTTATTCACCGCTGTTACCGCCCTTTGATCAGGCAATTATCTGCTCAATTAGCTCCCTTCCATAATTGGCCAAACATGACGACTTGTAGCAATAGTACAATGTGAGAGAAATGTTGACTGAATGTTGACAGCGGTCAGCTGTCAAGTTTTAATATTGGCCATGGTTTTATGGTGATGTTTTTGTTTGTTCTTGTGATGTTTGTTGTTGTGGTGTTTGTTGTATTACTTTAGCTTGTGAGAGAATCAGGATTCCACCTAACTTTCCTTGTACTGAATCATCTATGCTATGACCCATTAAAGTATTGACCAATCTATGCTATGACCCATTAAAGTATTGACCAATCTATGCTATGACCCATTAAAGTATTGACCAATCTATGCTATGACCCATTAAAGTATTGACCAATCTATGCTACGACCCATTAAAGTATTGACCAATCTATGCTATGACCCATTAAAGTATTGACCAATCTATGCTATGACCCATTAAAGTATTGACCAATCTATGCTATGACCCATTAAAGTATTGACCAATCTATGCTATGACCCATTAAAGTATTGACCAATCTATGCTATGACCCATTAAAGTATTGACCAATCTATGCTATGACCCATTAAAGTATTGACCAATCTATGCTATGACCCATTAAAGTATTGACCAATCTATGCTATGACCCATTAAAGTATTGACCAATCTATGCTATGACCCATTAAAGTATTGACCAATCTATGCTATGACCCATTAAAGTATTGACCAATCTATGCTATGACCCATTAAAGTATTGACCAATCTATGCTATGACCCATTAAAATATTGACCAATCTATGCTATGACCCATTAAAGTATTGACCAATCTATGCGGTTACCAGTTATATCACTGCTACATCCCATCTATATTATGACTCGTCCATGTAATGACCCAATGATGACTCGTCCATGTAATGACCCAAATGATGACTCGTCCATGTAATGACCCAAATGATGACTCGTCCATGTAATGACCCAAATGATGACCCGTCCATGTAATGACCCAAATGATGACCCGTCCATGTAATGACCCAAATGATGACCCGTCCATGTAATGACCCAAATGATGACCCGTCCATGTAATGACCCAAATGATGACCCGTCCATGTAATGACCCAAATGATGACCCGTCCATGTAATGACCCAAATGATGACTTGTCCATGTAATGACCCAAATGATGACTCGTCCATGTAATGACCCAAATGATGACTCGTCCATGTAATGACCCAAATGATGACTCGTCCATGTAATGACCCAAATGATGACTCGTCCATGTAATGACCCAAATGATGACTCGTCCATGTAATGACCCAAATGATGACTCGTCCATGTAATGACCCAAATGATGACCCGTCCATGGAATGACCCGTGTGTCTAACCAACCTCCCTGTGTCACGGGCTTCTCCTCTAACGGTCATCACGTGACGGTGTGAAACACGAGCCTAACACACGTGCTAATTATTGATTGTGACCCAGTTGGGTGTGTAGGAGGACGAGCAGCGTGCTGCTGTCAAGTGTGCACGGCCCTCGTTAATCCTCGCTGTGTCGCCCTGTGCACGTCGCGCTTCATGACAATAGAGGACAGGACAATAGAGGACTGGGCAACTGAGGACAGGACAATACAGACCAGGGTGATAGAGGACAGGACAACAGAGGACAGAACAAGAGGACAGGCAATGTGTTGTTTAGAAAACCGCAGTTGAGCAGATGTGTAGCCAGCCGTCAGATCAATGTTGTATGTGGTGGATGTGGTAAGACAACCTTGAGACACTTACGACAGCCAAACCACATGTGTGTCTGCTGTCTCATCACTTCCACATAACCGTGTGATGTCATTTCACATGACCTCGTGCAATATGTTTACATAGGTCATCATTTCCCCAGGATTCGTGTTGTTATAACCTGTGATACGACTCGTGTTTTCCCAACCCTCGAATCTTCTCGTCTCTCCCACCTTCATGGCGTGATGGGCTGAGGGCGGAGGGATTATTTGGATTATTTGGATTATTTGGATTATTTGGATTATTTGGATTATCGCAGTTTTATTCAGCTGTTGGGAAAGTTGATGTACAAGTTTAAAACATTTCCGTGCCACCTAGTGAGAATATCTAAAACTTCGTGCTACCGATTGTGAAGATCTAAAAACTCCGTGCCATCCAGTGTGAAGGTCTAGAAACTCCGTGCTAAAAAAACTCTGTGCCACCTAGTGTGACAACTGGACGGCGGATGTGACCATGAGCTGGGACACACCCCCAACATGGCGTCGGTTCTACCGTCTTGTAACACCAGTGACGTCATGGCCCAGCTGGCCAACGTGACGTCACCGACCGATGACGTCTACGACCACGAGGGGGCCATGGAGTTTATCGTGGCCACTCTGCTTGTCTACTGCCTCATCGGCATCGCTGGCCTGCTGGTGATGAAGATACGGAGGCGGGCGTCCATGGGCCAGAGGTAGGTCAATTAGGTAGGTCACTTAGGTCAGGTAGGTAGGTCACTTAGATAGGTCACTTGGATAGGTCAGATAGGTAGGTCAAGTAGATAGGTCAAGTAGGTAGGTCAAGTAGGTAGGTCACTTAGATAGGTCAGGTAAGTATGTCACTTAGGTAGTTCAGGTAGGTAGGTCAAGTAGGTAGGTCATTTAGATAGGTCACTTAGATAGGTCACTTAGATAGGTCACTTAGATATTAATTAGATAGGTCACTTAGATAGGTCAGGTAGGTAGGTCAAGTAGGTAGGTCATTTAGATAGGTCACTTAGATAGGTCACTTAGATATTAATTAGATAGGTCACTTAGATAAGTCAGGTAGGTAGGTCACTTAGGTAGGTAATTAACGATGGGAAGTCATAGGTCATTTACAGAACAGAATTAGGTCTTGTAGATAGGTCAAGTATGATATTGGGGTTTGGTGTAAGGTGAGGTAAGTTTTTGTACCTGAAAGACACGGAGTTTTTAAATTTCCTGTAGCATACTTTATATATTATCAGAAAAATAGCCTCAGCTAACAGACTTATGCCAGGTTCTCATTTTAGCTGAGTAATCTCTTTTATGCTTTGATTGATGCTGGTGACATGAAATGTAGCTGACTTGAATGTCTCCGCTTGGTTTTGAACCCAGGACCGTGACGATGCGCGAGGAACACATCCAGAGCTACATCAAGCAGGCGGACGATCTCAGGCTGGCTGGGTACAGAGATAAGCTGAAGATTGAGGCCAAGAGGTGGGTACCCACTCTCTCAAACTGTACCCACTCTTTCAAACTGTACCAACTATCTCAAACTGTACCCACTCTCTCAAACTGTACCCACTCTTTCAAACTGTACCAACTATCTCAAACTGTACCCACTCTCTCAAACTGTACCCACTATCTCAAACTGTACCCACTCTCTCAAACTGTACCCACTCTCTCCACTCTCTCAAACTGTACCCACTCTCTCAAACTGTACCCACTCTCTCAAACTGTACCCAATCTCTCAAACTGTACCCACTATCTCAAACTGTACCAACTATCTCATACTGTACCAACTATCTCAAACTGTACCCACTCTCTCAAACTGTACCTACAATCTCAAACTGTACCTACTCTTTCAAACTGTACCAACTATCTCAAACTGTACCCACTATCTCAAACTGTACCCACTCTCTCAAACTGTACCAACTATCTCAAAGTGTACCCACTCTCTCAAACTGTACCAAATATCTCAAAATGTACACACACTCTCAAACTGTACCAACTATCTCAAACTGTACCCACTATCTCAAACTGTACCAACTATCTCAAACTGTACCCACTCTTTCAAACTGTACCAACTATCTCAAACTGTACCCACTCTCTCAAACTGTACCTACTATCTCAAACTGTACCTACTCTTTCAAACTGTACCCACTATCTCAAACTGTACCCACTATCTCAAACTGTACCAACTATCTCAAACTGTACCTACTCTTTCAAACTGTACCAACTATCTCAAACTGTACCCACTCTCTCAAACTGTACCAAATATCTCAAACAGTACACACACTCTCAAACTGTACCCACTCTCTCAAACTGTACCAAATATCTCAAACAGTACACACACTCTTAAACTGTACCCACTATATCACAACTGTACCCACACTCTCAAACTGTACCAACTATCTCTAACTGTACCCACTATATCACAACTGTACCCACTCTCTCAAACTGTACCAAATATCTCAAACAGTACACACACTCTCAAACTGTACCCACTATATCACAACTGTACCCACACTCTCAAACTGTACCCACTATATCACAACTGTACCCACACTCTCAAACTGTACCAACTATCTCTAACTGTACCCACTATATCACAACTGTACCCACACTCTCAAACTGTACCCACACTCTCAAACTGTACCAACTGTCTCTAACTGTACCCACTATACCACAACTGTACCCACACCCTCAAACTGTACTTGATATACCATTTCTATCTCACCTTATATGTACCTGTTCTTGCTGATGTAAATATAAAACGTCACAACTCCATGACTACCTGGGTTACAACACAACGCCACGTTTTTCCTACACAATGACAAACAAAAGACAAACAGATCGATCTACACCAAACAATAGATTGGTCCCATCTATAATTTCATTGTTCCACAACCAAGATCTATCTTGATAAATTATTCAAACTCCTCCAATACATGACTTGAATCAGCATTTTCTTTCTGTTAACAGCATTTTGAGCATTCTTTCTGTACCAACAACAGGGGATGTGTCAAAATTGTGGTTGCTATATGTAGAGTGTCATGGCATTGAACTGTGGAGTCATGACATTGTACTGTGGAGTCATGACATTGTACTGGGAGTCATGACATTGTACTGTGGAGTCATGGCTTTGTACAGTGAGCCATGGCATTGTACTGGGAGTCATGACATTGTACTGTGGAGTCATGACATTGTACTGGGAGTCATGGCATTGTACTGGAAGTCATGGCATTGTACTGGGAGTCATGACATTGTACTGTGGAGTCATGGCATTGTACTGGGAGTCATGGCATTGTACTGGGAGTCATGACATTGTACTGGGAGTCATGGTCTTGTACTGGGAGTCATGGCATTGTACTGGGAGTCATGGCATTGTACTGGGAGTCATGGCATTGTACTGGGAGTCATGGTCTTGTACTGGGAGTCATGGCATTGTACTGGGGAGTCATGACATTGTACTGGGGGAGTCATGACATTGTACTGGGGATTTATGATATTGTACTGGGGAGTCATGTTATTGTACTGTGGAGTCATGGCATTTTACTGTTGAGTCATGGCTTTGTACTGGGGAGTCATGACATTTTACTGGGAGTCATGACATTGTACTGGGGAGTCATGGCATTGTACTGTGGAGTCATGACATATTACTGGGATACATGACATTGTACTGGGAAGTCATGGCATTGTACTAGGGAGTCATGACATTGTACTGGGGAGTCATGACATTGTACTGGGGAGTCATGGCATTGTACTGGGAGTCATGGTATTGTACTGGGAGTCATGGCATTGTACAGGGAGTCATGGCATTGTACTGGGAGTCATGGCATTGTACTGGGAGTCATGGTCTTGTACTGGGAGTCATGGCATTGTACTGGGGAGTCATGACATTGTACTGGGGATTTATGACATTGTACTGGGGAGTCATGACATTGTACTGGGGAGTCATGGCATTGTACTGGGAGTCATGACATTGTACTGGGAGTCATGACATTGTACTGGGAGTCATGGCATTGTACTGGGGAGTCATGACATTGTACTGGGGATTTATGACATTGTACTGGGGAGTCATGACATTGTACTGGGGAGTCATGGCATTGTACTGGGAGTCATGACATTGTACTGGGAGTCATGACATTGTACTGGGAGTTATGGCATTGTACTGTGGAGTCATGACATTGTACTGGGGAGTCATGGCATTGTACTGGGAGTCATGGAATTGTACTGGGAGTCATGGCCTTGTACTGGGAGTCATGGCATTGTACTGGGAGTTATGGCATTGTACTGTGGAGTCATGGCATTGTACTGGGAGTCATGACATTGTACTGTGGAGTCATGGCATTGTACTGGGGAGTCATGACATTGTACTGGGAGTCATGACATTGTACTGGGGAATCATGGCATTGTACTGGGAGTTATGGCATTGTACTGTGGAGTCATGACTTTGTACTGTGGAGTCATGACATTGTACTGTGGAGTCATGGCATTGTACTGGGAGTCATGGCATTGTACTGGGAGGCATGACATTGTACTGGGAGTCATGGAATTGTACTGGGAGTCATGGCATTGTACTGGGGAGTCATGGCATTGTACTGGGAGTCATGGCATTGTACTGGGAGTCATGACATTGTACTGGGAAGTCATGACATTGTACTGGGGAGTCATGGAATTGTACTGAGAGTCATGACATTGTACTGGGGAGTCATGACATTGTACTGGGGATTTATGACATTGAACTGGGGAGTCATGGCATTGTACTGGGGAGTCATGACATTGTACTGGGAGTCATGGCATTGTACTGGGAGTCATGGCCTTGTACTGTGGAGTCATGACATTGTACTGTGGAGTCATGACATTGTACTGGGAGTCATGACATTGTACTGGGAGTCATGACATTGTACTGGGAGTCATGACATTGTACTGGGAGTCATGACATTGTACCAGGGAGTCATGGCATTGTACCTGTTGCACGCACGCTTACACTCGGTCAGCTGATCTCTAATGTCACCTGACCTCGCTAACTTTAAATCATCCATTAGGGCATCCACCAGGTCCAGTTTTATGTCAGCTAATTCCCCGGCTCGATCAGTCAGTCATTCTTCTTTATGTTCCATCCATCTAATGTTTCCTGTATGCTCCCTGTATGTTATCTGTAGGTTCCCTGTGTTTCACCAATCTAATGTTCCCTGTGTCCCACGAATCTAATGTTCCCTTTTGTTCTCTGTGTTCCACCCATCTAATGTTCCCTGTATGTTCCCTGTGTTCCACTCATCTTATGTTCCCTGTGTTCCACCAATCTAATGTTCCCTGTGTTCCACCAATCTAATGTTCCCTCTGTTCCACCAATCTAATGTTCCCTGTGTTGCACCCATCTTATGTTCCCTGTGTTCCACCAATCTAATGTTCCCTGTATGTTCCCTGTGTTCCCAGGATGATGTACTACATAGAGAGCATCGAGCGGAGAAAAAGTGAGGCGGGGAGTGTCATGGAGGTCACAACTTTTCTAGAAGATTCCTCCACACAGACCAGCCCGCTAACCATCGCAGAGGAACCATCATTTACCATCGCAGAGGAACCATCATTTACCATCGCAGAGGAACCATCATTTACCATCGCAGAGGAACCATCATTTACCATCGCAGAGGAACCATCATTTACCATCGCAGAGGAACCATCATTTACCATCGCAGAAGAACCATCCTTTAATTTGCCGACTCAGCAATTTTTGACTTATGCAGGTTCGAACACATTGCCGCCAAACATTGGTCGGGATGTCAGAAGTTGTGGGTTCAAAACCCACTTGAGCTCAAGTGCACTACTGACGACTTACGAAGTTCCAGACATTAGCACGAACAATCTGACGAACAACGTGCCGGCTCACGTGACAAACGTGCCGGCTCACGTGACAAACGTGCCAACTCACGTGACAAACGTGCCGGCTAACGTGACAAACGTACCGGCTCACGTGACCAACAACGTGCCGGCTCACGTGACGCACGTGCCGGCTCACGTGACAAACGTACCGGCTCACGTGACAAACGTGCCGGCTCACGTGACAAACGTACCGGCTCACGTGACAAACGTGCCGGCTCACGTGACCAACAACGTGCCGGCTAACGTGACAAACAACGTGCCGGCTCACGTGACAAACGTGCCGGCTCACGTGACAAACAACGTGCCGGCTCACGTGACAAACGTGCCGGCTCACGTGACAAACGTGCCGGCTCACGTGACAAACGTACCGGCTCACGTGACCAACAACGTGCCGGCTCACGTGACGCACGTGCCGGCTCACGTGACAAACGTACCGGCTCACGTGACAAACGTGCCGGCTCACGTGACAAACGTACCGGCTCACGTGACAAACGTGCCGGCTCACGTGACAAACAATCTGACCACGGAGAGACCAGCCACACAAGAGGACATGTGTGTTCAGGAGGACATTGAGGACAATAACGACGAGCACATGTCCTTGATTTAACACCACACACACGCTTACATACACCACACCATATACCACACCACACACCACACCATACACACCACACACATCTGAACACAACAGAACATCACTTAAACTGTTTAACTTACACACTAGTGCCTTCAGTATTTCCTTCAAGACATCGTTTAAACAATACTCTTTCTTAATGAGTTTTAATTGGTTCTATGCATATATATATATATATATATATATATATATATATATATATATATATAGGTTTGTGTTTGTATCTTCTTCGATGTATAGCGACGACTAGCATATATTCTAAAAATCTACTATCTATGTACCCCGGTAAATAAAACGTTAATCTTGACCTTCGATAGAGAAGTCTAGAAACAATGATGTACCTGACTGATTGAGAGACTGAATGATCGAGTGATTGACTTTTGAGATGTGTGTGACCCTAGCTTTTGTCGACCATCGACCAATGGAATGACCCTAGCCTACTGTTGGATGTTACGACTGACCAAACACCTTGCTAAATAAATCAAACATTTTTCTTTGATCAGTGTTTGATTTTTTGCATAGTTCATTGTTCTATGTCTCTACAGGATTATCTGCCCTGAAGAGTTTCACACTCGATATGTCATCGGTGTTCAAAGAGAAACAGAGTTTCTTCCAGGCATCTCTTGAACTATGACCCGACCCACGTGTCTGTAACTGACTTGAACTTTGACCCTATCCACGTGTCTGTAACTGACTTGAACTTTGACCCTATCCACGTGTCTGTAACTGACTTGAACTTTGACCCTATCCACGTGTCTGTAACTGACTTGAACTTTGACCCGAACCACGTGTCTGTAACTGGCTTGAACTTTGACCCTATCCACGTGTCTGTAACTGACTTGAACTTTGACCCGACCCACGTGTCTGTAACTGACTTGAACTTTGACCCGCTCCACCGTGTGTGCACCGGAGCGTGACCTCCAGTTGACGCACGATTGCCCACATTCAATGGCCGTCAACAAAATGGAACCTCGTCGATCTTAGGTCAATATCAAATCGATTTGCCAAGGCCGCGTTCACATCACTGCTGTTGATTACCTGTTTACGTGGGTCTAGAGCAGGGGTCTCCAAACTACGGCCCGCGGGCCGGATGCGGCCCGCGAGGTCATTTTATCCGGCCCGCGACGATCTTTTTGTCCACTGAATAAATGTTTGTTGGAAGTAGCTGAGGAGCTTTGCACAGAAAATTCAAAACAATTTTAAAATTGAACTTTGAAATTTGTATATATTTCTATATAAATTATATTTCGTTGGGGGGGGGGGGGCGACGACCCTGAAGAGATACCTTAAAGAAACTCTGGCCCCCGAACTGATATTTAATAGTTAATGCGGCCCTCGGGCTGAAAAGTTTGGAGACCCCTGGTCTAGAGGAAGGAAAACTCATTTCTGTCATTTTTTTCTTTGTTGTAGTAGGGTCTCCTCATCGTGACCAGAGTAGCTTACCTGTGAGTTTTGTTCAGCTGTGTTAATTACCTGTTACCTGAGTTATCTGTTACTTGAGTTACCTGTTTCTTGTGTTATCTATGAGAAAGTTACTTGTTAGTAAGAGTTACCGGTGTGAAAATTACCTGTGTGAAAGTTACCTTGTGAAAGTTACCTGTGTGAAAGTTACCTGCGATGTTACTTGAGTTACCTGTTTCTTGTGTTATCTATGAGAAAGTTACTTGTTAGTAAGAGTTACCTGTGTGAAAATTACCTGTGTGAAAGTTACCTTGTGAAAGTTACCTGTGTGAAAGTTACCTGCGAAGAAATTACCTGTGTGAAAGCAACCTCACCTGTTGTATAAACGAGTTACCTGGAAGAGCCCGTACCTCACGCTACTCCCCCCCCCCCCACCCACCCCCCCCCACCCCACCCCCACCTCCCGTGTGTGAAACCAGGCACTGAGCCACCTGAACGCGCCGTCCACCTGTTGGTTGTGGCACCGCCATAGAATCTCAGACTTCTAGTACGGTGTGCTTGGCCTGGAGCCGTTACACAGGTGATTTCTGGACCCACGGGGTAAGGTAAGGTAGGGTAGCCTGTGGTAGCCTGTGGTAGCCTGTGGTAGTCTTCAGGTAGCCTGTGGTAGTCTATGGTTGTCTTTAGGTAGCCAGTGGTAGCCTGTAGTAATCTAATATGTATCTTGTGAAAGCCTGTGGTAGCCTTCCGTTCCGTCTGTAAGTCTGTTTTTGGTCTTTCTGTCGGTCTGTAGGTCTGTATATGTGTAGGTCTGTCTGTAAGTCTGAATTTAGGTCAGTCTAATATGTCTATTTGTGTGTCTATAGGTCTGTGTCTGCCTGTGGGTCTCCCACTACTCACCCCCAGGGTCGGGCCGTCTGTTAAGACTACCCAGGGGTGACTGGGTGTGGCACGTGACGTCATAAGACAATCGTGTCGCTAGTGTAAGGGAGAAAACTCTTGTTGTTTGTTTACAGTTTACAGTTAGTCTATGTTTCAGTCTCCCCTTGATTGTGTCAGGTCATTATACAAAAATTAAACTAATTGAAGATTGAAGTCAGAAATAAAGCCATTATTTCAGGTTTCTTTTCACTATTAGATTACACTAGAATACCCGTCATCCCTTGGATAACTGTGGGTTTCGGGGGTCATCCATCAAAAAACATCACGTCTGTCACTCAGAGGCATAGCGAGCCTTCCCGGCGCCCGGGGACAAACTTTTCGATTTTAACCCCCCCCCCCAAGATTTCGATTTTCAACCCCCCCCCCTCAAACTTTTGATGTGCACCCCCTCCCCCCCCCCCACTCAAACTTTCGATTTGAACCCCCCTCAACCTTTCAATTTATTTTTCCAAACCATTTTGGCGCCCCAACATACGTCCCCCCGCCCCCCCCCCCTTCACTCCCCCCCCGCCTCCCCTCCCCCCCCCCCGCCTCCCCTTCCCCCCCCCGCCTCCCCTACCCCCCCCCCCCCCGCCTCCCCACCCGCCCCCCCCCCCCTCCTCGCTACGCTACTGCAGTGTCACTTATCGTCACAAAAACAGAGCCCACATTCAAAAATATGTTTCTTATCTTTTAAAAACACCGAAAACACCGATTTCGGACTATCCCTTCATATACTGACGTCACATGTGACCTACTCAACTCTACTTCACCTGCCCAGTGTCCCGCCAAGTCTCAGACAACATGTTTTTATCGTTTAAAAAACGATTCCAGCCGAGCATGTCTCTGACCACACTATCCTTTCATATGGTTAGGACAAAGAAACAGATGAACTCTACTTCACCTGCCCTGTATCCTGCCAAGTTCAGATAGGCAACTTTATCATTAACATCTAAAAAAAAAAAATTGAAAAAAAAAATCATTTTTTATCATTAACATCTAAAAAAAAAAAAAATTGAAAAAAAATATCATTGACATATTGGTCTAGAACCTGTACCACTGGCATGAGAGCGGACTACGCTACAAACTTAGCTATTTACTCCTGACGTCACAAATGAATTTTTATACTATACTTTGATGCAACTTGATTTCGAGCGTCTAGTCTAGAAGTAGTAACTTTCAAATTAAATTTTATCTTAAATTAGCCAAACAAAGATTTATATAAAATAATTAAGGCCTGAAATAGATTCTAGATGTATTAAGGCCTGAAATAGATTCTAGATGTAGAATTTACATTAAGTCTAGATTTAGAATTTACATTGAGTTTAGTGATCTAGATCTAGGCTAGATTCATAAATTTCCTTCGACATCTGATCTTTAGATCTAGAGAAATTTATTGTAAAACTAAATGAAAAAAGACAGTTGAAAATTGATATAAGTGTTGGAACGTAATAAATACAGCAAACGGACGTATTGTTAAAGTTATGACCGACAGAAAATTAGATTTAGAACGCGTTAAACTTTGGAATGGGAACACAATTTTCTTCGATAGGCGCCGCCATTTTATTGTACTAAAGAGTCAACAAAAAACTCTGACGTCACTATCAAGGGACGTCACTATCCCCACAAAGTTTATTCAAAGTATTAACATTTTTTAAAAAATACGGTTAATTTAACAATGAATAAATCAATAAATTAATTAACGTCTTTAAATAAATTTGTGATTAACAGTCTGTCTGCATTAAAAAATTATTCTCTACCTGCATACTATTTTACAGCTTTCCAGATAGAGCCGAACATATCAGGATACTTGATCAGGCAAACAAACAAATAAATATTCAAACATGTAAACAAACTTGACTTTTAGTAGTATATAGATGTATATCTCATACCTATATACCAACTACAAAAAAAATCACTTTCCCTAGCTTAAAGAGTAAATTAACAATTTGTTAAGTTACGGGTCTCTCGCTAGGGTATTTTGTTACTGTCACTTTCTAGATCAAGTGAGGCAAACTTGTCGCTTTCAGTTTGACATATCTAAGTATTGCTGTGTTCTTGTATCCCTGTGTTGACACATGTGTGTTGTGTGTAGTGTGTTGGCACAAATCTATGTTTACAATCACACGTACACTGCTGTGTGTTTGCTTCCTTCAAGTCACACAAAGTTTTTAACAAGATGTTTAACCAAACTTTACTAGACAGAAATATGTTACAGTAATAAAACATATCTTCCCCACTGAAGTGCTGACTATCTGTGACTTGATTTGCAGAAACTAACGCTAATTCTAACACAGTTAACTCATAGCTAGTGGTGGTGGTCTGTTAAACAGCTTTATCTAAGTTTATCTTTTTTTCTAGACTATATATATATATATATATATATATATATATATATATATATATATATATATATATATATATATATATATATATATATATATATATATATATATATATATATATATATATATGGGTGTGTGTGTAAACACGAAGGCCTACATTTCATTTACAGGAAGACAGATGATACTGAGCTAATTAAAATATTTCTCAATACTTTACAACACGGCATTCATTACCCAACTCCAGTTGGTAACACCGGTATGAAACCTTGCCCTACCCCCACTCTCATCCCCCTACCCCCTCCACCCCCACCCCCGTAGTTTGTATTGATCCCTGCACCTACCTTAACCCGTGACGCAGCTCATTAAACAAAGAAATGACAGTCAAGTCTGCTCTTGCTATTGTCCTCTCTACAGATCAATCAAAATGTATAGGCCTGCATATACCTGGCTGTATCTATATACCTGCATATACCTGGCTGTATCTATATACCTGCATATACCTGGCTGTATCTATATACCTGCATATACCTGGCTGTATCTATATACCTGCATATACCTGGCTGTATCTATATACCTGCATATACCTGGCTGTATCTATATACCTGCATATACCTGGCTGTATCTATATACCTGCATATACCTGGCTGTATCTATATACCTGCATATACCTGGCTGTATCTATATACCTGCATATACCTGGCTGTATCTATATACCTGCATATACCTGGCTGTATCTATAGAGCCTACTTGCCTGGTGTCTGAAGGCAATACAAGACAGACGTGTGTAGGTAAAGACCGGCATCCCTAACACTGACCACACCCCAACACAAACTGCCCCTAACACTGACCACACCCCAACACAAACTGCCCCTAACACTGACCACACCCCAACACAAACTGCCCCTAACACTGACCACACCCCAACACAAACTGCCCCTAACACTGCACACCCCCACACAAACTGCCCCTAACACTGACCACACCCCAACACAAACTGCCCCTAACACTGACCACACCCCCACACAAACTGTATTTAACACTGACCACACCCCCACACAAACTGCCCCTAACACTGACCACACCCCAACACAAACTGTCCCTAACACTGACCACACCCCAACACAAACTGCCCCTAACACTGCACACCCCCACACAAACTGCCCCTAACACTGACCACACCCCAACACAAACTGCCCCTAACACTGACCACACCCCCACACAAACTGCCCCTAACACTGACCACACCCCAACACAAACTGCCCCTAACACTGACCACACCCCAACACAAACTGCCCCTAACACTGACCACACCCCAACACAAACTGCCCCTAACACTGACCACACCCCAACACAAACTGCCCCTAACACTGACCACACCCCAACACAAACTGCCCCTAACACTGACCACACCCCAACACAAACTGCCCCTAACACTGACCACACCCCAACACAAACTGCCCCTAACACTGACCACACCCCAACACAAACTGCCCCTAACACTGACCACACCCCCACACAAACTGCCCCTAACACTGACCACACCCCAACACAAACTGCCCCTAACACTGACCACACCCCCACACAAACTGCCCCTAACACTGACCACACCCCAACACAAACTGCCCCTAACACTGACCACACCCCAACACAAACTGCCCCTAACACTGACCACACCCCAACACAAACTGCCCCTAACACTGACCACACCCCAACACAAACTGCCCCTAACACTGACCACACCCCCACACAAACTGCCCCTAACACTGACCACACCCCAACACAAACTGCCCCTAACACTGACCACACCCCCACACAAACTGCCCCTAACACTGACCACACCCCAACACAAACTGCCCCTAACACTGACCACACCCCCACACAAACTGTATTTAACACTGACCACACCCCCACACAAACTGCCCCTAACACTGACCACACCCCAACACAAACTGTCCCTAACACTGACCACACCCCAACACAAACTGCCCCTAACACTGACCACACCCCCACACAAACTGTATTTAACACTGACCACACCCCCACACAAACTGCCCCTAACACTGACCACACCCCAACACAAACTGTCCCTAACACTGACCACACCCCAACACAAACTGCCCCTAACACTGCACACCCCCACACAAACTGCCCCTAACACTGACCACACCCCCACACAAACTGCCCCTAACACTGACCACACCCCACACAAACTGCCCCTAACACTGACTACACCCCCACTCAAACTGCCCCTAACACTGACCACACCCCAACACAAACTGTATTTAACACTGACCACACCCCCACACAAACCAGCGCCCGGGGACAAACTTTCGATTTGCACCACCCCCCCCCCCCCCGCTCAAGATTTAGAATTCCCCCCCCCCCTCAAACTTTTGATTTGCACCCCCCCCCACCTCCACAAGATTTCGATTTGCACGCACCCCCACCCCCCTCAAACTTTCGATTTGCACCCCACCCCCTTCAAGATTTCGATTGGCAACCCCCCCCCCCTCAAGCTTACAATTTATTTTTCCAACCCATTTTGGCGCCCCCTAAGGTCGGCGCCCGGGGACTTATGTCCCTCGCATCCCCCGCCCCCGCCCCCCCCCCTCGTTACGCCTCTGCAAACTGCCCCAAACACTGACCACACGCCCACACAAACTGTATTTAACACTGACCACACGCCCACACAAACTGTATTTAACACTGACCACACCCCAACACAAACTGCCCCAAACACTGACCACACCCCTCTCTCTTATAGCAATCGACCGTCTCAAGAATTTGATAAAAGAAACTTCTAATAACTCGGTCACAGTTCTCAGGATATACGATCCGGCTGTGCTATAATTAGACACCCGATCTCTAGGGGTGCCAAACACGTGGTCACGTGCCGTTCCCTGAAGGCCGATTATTTGAAGGTCATGTTTATTCACAGGTCGATAGTTTTAGAAATCTAGAAGTTTCGAACTGACAAACACGTCAATATACACACAATACTTACAGTACTTGTCCCGAATAAACTAGCTCATCAACAAAACCAATGTTAAACGTGAACACGTCCAGCACAAATCGTCAGCAATCTAAAGTTCCCTGAATTGTTCCCTAAAGTTCCCTGGATTGTTCCCATCTTTTGGAAAAGTCATCATCAGGCTTACTTGATCTGTTTTCCTTTTCGTAAAGAACGGATGAAACTTTGGGCATCTTTGGGCATCTCTGGGCATCTTTGGGCATCCTTGGGCATATCTGGGCATTTCTAGGCGTCTTTGGGCATCATGTCTGGTCTAATCTGCCGGTCATTTGCTTGTCTTGGTGGTCAACCAATTCACTTCAACTGACGTGGTGGTCAACCAATTCACTTCAACTGACGTGGTGGTCAACCAATTCACTTCAACTGACGTGGTGGTCAACCAATTCACTTGAACTGACGTGGTGGTCAACCAATTCACTTCAACTGACGTGGTGGTCAACCAATTCACTTCAACTGACGTGGTGGTCAACCAATTCACTTCAACTGACGTGGTGGTCAACCAATTCACTTCAACTGACGTGGTGGTCAACCAATTCACTTCAACTGACGTGGTGGTCAACCAATTCACTTCAACTGACGTGGTGGTCAACCAATTCACTTCAACTGACGTGATGGTCAGTCAACCAATTCACTTCAACTGACGTGATGGTCAGTCAACCAATTAACTTCAACTGACGTGATGGTCAGTCAACCAATTAACTTCAACTGACGTGATGGTCAGTCAACCAATTAACTTCAACTGACGTGATGGTCAGTCAACCAATTAACTTCAACTGACGTGATGGTCAGTCAACCAATTAACTTCAACTGACGTGATGGTCAGTCAACCAATTCACTTCAACTGACGTGATGGTCAGTCAACCAATTCACTTCAACTGACGTGATGGTCAGTCAACCAATTCACTTCAACTGACGTGATGGTCAGTCAACCAATTCACTTCAACTGACGTAATGGTCAGTCAACCAATTCACTTCAACTGACGTGATGGTCAGTCAACCAATTCACTTCAACTGACGTGATGGTCAGTCAACCAATTCACTTCAACTGACGTGATGGTCAGTCAAGAACTTCACTTCAACTGACGTGATGGTCAACCAATTCACTTCAACTGACGTGATGGTCAGTCAACCAATTCACTTCATCTGACGTGATGATCAGTCAACCAATTCACTTCAACTGACGTGATGGTCAGTCAACCAATTCACTTCAACTGACGTGATGGTCAGTCAACCAATTCACTTCAACTGACGTAATGGTCAGTCAACCAATTCACTTCAACTGACGTGATGGTCAGTCAACCAATTCACTTCAACTGACGTGATGGTCAGTCAACCAATTCACTTCAACTGACGTGATGGTCAGTCAAGAACTTCACTTCAACTGACGTGATGGTCAACCAATTCACTTCAACTGACGTGATGGTCAGTCAACCAATTCACTTCAACTGACGTGATGGTCAGTCAACCAATTCACTTCAACTGACGTGGTGGTCAGTCAACCAATTCACTTCAACTGACGTGGTGGTCAGTCAACCAATTCACTTCAACTGACGTGGTGGTCAGTCAACCAATTCACTTCAACTGACGTGGTGGTCAGTCAACCAATTCACTTCAACTGACGTGATGGTCAGTCAACCACTTCACTTCAACTGACGTGAAGGTCAACCAATTCACTTCAACTGACGTGATGGTCAGTCAACCACTTCACTTCAACTGTCGTGATGGTCAGTCAACCAATTCACTTCAACTGACGTGATGGTAAACCAATTCACTTCAACTGACGTGGTGGTCAGTCAACCAATTCACTTCAACTGACATGGTGGTCAACCAATTCACTTCAACTGTCGTGATGGTCAGTCAACCAATTCACTTCAACTGTCGTGATGGTCAGTCAACCAATTCACTTCAACTGACTTGATGGTCAGTCAACCAATTCACTTCAACTGACGTGATGGTCAGTCAACCAATTCACTTTAACTGTCGTGGTGGTCAGTCAACCACTTCACTTCAACTGACTAGATGGTCAGTCAACCAATTCACTTCAACTGACGTGATGGTCAGTCAACCAATTCACTTCAACTGTCGTGGTGGTCAGTCAACCACTTCACTTCAACTGACGTGATGGTCAATGTGTGTGTGTGTGTGTTGTTGCCGTCTGGTAACATCAAGAAAAAGGTAGGCCGGGTCAAAGGTCGTCAGAAAAAACTTCCTTTATTGTTACATCATCTGTTATGACGTCATAGACCTTCCTGGCATCTTACTTCCGCTACCAGAAAAAAAATCAGCCGTCAGATTCGAGGCGTGTTTGACCTATCGGCGCATGCGTGACCTCTCTGTCTGGTTCCAGTCACAGGTAGATGGTCGTCTGTCTAGGCTAGGGTATTTACCTGTACGTCTGTCGGCTTGGGTATTTACCTGTACACCTGCCGGCTTGGGTACTTACCTGTATATCTGCAGGTGTAGGTACTTACCTGTACACCTGCAGGTGTAGGTACTTACCTGTACACCTGCAGGTGTAGGCACTTACCTGTACACCTGCAGGTGTAGGTACTTACCTGTACACCTGCAGGTGTAGGTACTTACCTGTACACCTGCAGGTGTAGGTACTTACCTGTACACCTGCAGGTGTAGGTACTTACCTGTACGTCTGCAGGTGTAGGTACTTACCTGTACACCTGCAGGTGTAGGTACTTACCTGTACACCTGCAGGTGTAGGTACTTACCTGTACGTCTGCAGGTGTAGGTACTTACCTGCATATCTGCAGGTTAGGTACTTACCTGTACGTCTGCCGGCGTGGGTACTTACCTGTACACCTGCCGACGTAAGTACTTACCTGTACGTCTGTAGGTTAGGTACTTACCTGTACGTCTGCCGGCTTGGGTACTTACCTGTACACCTGCCGGCTTGGGTACTTACCTGTACACCTGCCGGCTTAGGTACTTACCTGTATGTCCGCAGGTTAGGTACTTACCTGTACGTCTGCCGGCTTGGGTACTTACCTGTACACCTGCCGGCTTAGGTACTTACCTGTACACCTGCCGGCTTAGGTACTTACCTGTATGTCTGCAGGTTAGGTACTTACCTGTACACCTGCCGGCTTAGGTACTTACCTGTATGTCTGCAGGTTAGGTACTTACCTGTACACCTGCCGGCTTAGGTACTTACCTGTATGTCTGCAGGTTAGGTACTTACCTGTACACCTGCCGGCTTAGGTACTTACCTGTATGTCTGCAGGTTAGGTACTTACCTGTACAACTGCCGGCTTAGGTACTTACCTGTATGTCTGCAGGTTAGGTACTTACCTGTACACCTGCCGGCTTGGGTATTTACCTTCAGGTTAATCAGGTTGACCTGTCATTGATTGATTTAGTTGACCTGTTAGACTCACATCAATCTCGGTCTTGTTGTCTTTGGGTTCTAAACCTCAGTTAATTCTCTATTGAACTTTCTATTGCACCTTTTATTGCACCTTTTATTGCACTTTTTCTTGCACTTTCTAGCCCATGTGAGAAACAACCTGGCACGTCAAGTTTAATGGTCTAAAAATAGCCCGGCTCATCAGACACGTCACCATAAAACTAACCGTTTCTTCCCGCCTATTGTTGAGACGCCGGCGAAAACCTTCTCTGATCTAACAATCGGCAATCAATTTCAGTCACGTGACTCCGAAAACCAATCGCAGCGGCCGAGATCTAGTATCTACATCCGGGTGCTTGGTGAGAGAAAGGCCCAGGGGAAGGAACTCTCATTTCTCCTATCTGCTGCCAGAGTGACCGGCAGTGCTGACTTTTGCTGGCATGCTGCTCTGATTGCGTCACAGCTGTGATTACGTCACACACTGACCACCATGGGATCGGGGGCGTCGACCACACCCAAGGCGGAGAAACCTGGCAGGGGGCCGGAGGACCTGGCCAAAAAGAGGGTAAGTCGGGTTAGAGTTAAGGTTCGTTCATGGCCCGCACATCAGGGGAACTAGAAGTCGGGTTAGAGTTAAGGTTCGTTCATGGTCTGCACGTCATGGGAACTAGAAGTCGGGTTAGAGTTAAGGTTCGTTCATGGTCTGCACGTCAGGGGAACTAGAAGTCGGGTTAGAGTTAAGGTTCGCTCATGGCCTGCACGTCAGGGGAACTAGAAGTCGGGTTAGAATTAAGGTTCGTTCATCGCCTGCACGTCAGGGGAACTAGAAGTCGGGTTAGAGTTAAGGTTCGTTCATGGCCCGCACATCAGGGGAACTAGAAGTCTGGTTAGAGTTAAGGTTCGTTCATGGCCCGCACGTCATGGGAACTAGAGTCACCGCCCTTTGATCAGCGCTGTGTGACGTCACACACTATTACAGATGAGCTAAAGAAGATCGATCACGATAAAAAAAAATCAATAATCGAACCGTGTTAAACCCCCAACCCCTTCCTCGTGGTAGTTTCCGGTTTCTAGTGAACCCCAGCCTTGACCTTGGTGACTGCTGGTGTAGAGTTACAGGCAGGTGACTTCAACAGTCAGAGGGCGACAGTCATGTCATAGTGGCTTGACTTAAGTCAACGGCAGAGGGCGACAGTCATGTCATAGTGGCTTGACTTAAGTCAACGGCAGAGGGCGACAGTCATGTCATAGTGGCTTGACTTAAGTCAACGGCAGAGGGCGACAGTCATGTCATGGTGGTTTGACTTAAGTCAACGGCAGAGGGCGACAGTCATGTAATGGTGGCTTGACTTAAGTCAACGGCAGAGGGCGACAGTCATGCCATAGTGGCTTGACTTAAGTCAACACGGCAAGCTCGTGAGTGCTTGTGTGACTTTGTGTGACTCTGTGTGGCTCTGTGTGGCTCTGTGTGACTTTGTGTGGCTCTGTGTGACTTATGTGCATGTAATCTGAGTGCTATTTTGATGTGCTATTTTGATGTGTTATTACCAACTAACCCAAATTAATATTGGTGACACAACCATTTGCATTAACAGTTTGGTGTGATGTTGTGTAATCATTACGATCACAAGCGTGATGTTATGTAAAGATGTATAGTAAAATTTGTGTTTGTAGTTGGTGTTAGGGTTAGAAGAGAATTTCACATCCAAAGCTACTTATGTCCTTAGGGCTTCAAATATGTCCCTTACACTTGCAAAATTCAGCCAGTCTACACTTACAGCATTTAGTCAGTCTACACTTGTAACATTTAGTCAGTCTACACTTGCAACATTTAGTCAGTCAACACTTACAACATTTAGTTAGTCAACACTTACAACATTTAGTCAGTCAACACTTACAACATTTAGTCAGTCATGTCTATACTTACAACATTTAGTCAGTCAACACTTACAACATTTAGTCAGTCATGTCTATACTTACAACATTTAGTCAGTCAACACTTACAACATTTATTCAGCCAACACTTACAACATTTAGTCAGTCATGTCTATACTTACAACATTTAGTCAGTCAACACTTGCAACATTTAGTCAGTCTACACGTACAGCATTTAGTCGGTCTACACTTGCAACATTTAGTCAGTTATGTCTATATTTACAACATTTAGTCTGTCATGTCTACACTTACAACATTTAGTCAGTCAACACTTACAACATTTAGTCAGTCAATACTTACACCATTTAGTCAGTCAACACTTGCAACATTTATTCCGTTTACACCACGATGTTGTTGTTTTGAGTTAAGTCTAAATGGCTAGCGCCCAAACAACCTGCCATTAATCATTGAGCAGGAAGTCTCCAGATAAAACACTTTGATCAACATAAGTAAGACACGCACATATTTATGTCATTCATATATTTGTAAGAGCGAGATAGCGGCTGACAGAGGTATTGATTGGCCTGCTAGATCACAACAATTAGGGTTTAAATCAAACAAGTAATCGATAACCTCACGATCGATTAATGCAGGCTTCAACGTGAGAACTGTCCTCTAGTTTATAGGACACAGTCCTGTTCTAGGACACACTCACACCCCACCAACATCCCCACCCACACCAGTCGCCAATCACACTCACACCCCACCACTCCCCCCACCTTATCCGTGGGTGTTTTGTTGTGTGTGACACATGTGCGCCAATGTTTGTCCTGAAGTGGCAGTTGATTGGTTAACATTGTTGTATCACCAGATGTCGCTTCACACTTCCGTCTCACACTACCACAAGAGCCAAGCCCCGCCCCCTCCCGCTCCTCCCCTCAGCAGAAAACATGAGATCTTCAAGGAGGGGGAGGGAAAGGAGGTGGAACAGCACGTTAGCAACGTGAGTAGAATCTGACTTGTGGACACACAGGTGGTCAGACAGGTGGTTAGACAGGTGGACAACAGATGGACAGACAGGTGAACAGACAGGTGGACAGACAGGTGGACAGACAGGTGGACAGACAGGTGAACATACAGGTGGACAGACAGGTGGGCAGACAGGTGGACAGACAGGTGAACAGACAGGTGAACAGACAGGTGAACAGACAGGTGGACAGACAGGTGAACAGACAGGTGGACAGACAGGTGAACAGACAGGTGAACAGACAGGTGAACAGACAGGTGGACAGACAGGTGAACAGACAGGTGGACAGACAGGTGGACAGACAGGTGAACAGACAGGTGGACAGACAGGTGGACAGACAGGTGGACAGACAGGTGGACAGACAGGTGGTCAGAGAGAGATACAGCTGCTTATTAAAAAGTGCCCCTATGTCTGACTCCAGCTGAAGCCGGAGATGAACTATGGGACCTTCAAGGAGCTGGTCCAGTACCTGACCGGGCCTGACCACTGGTCAGACGTTGACCGACTCCGCTCCATCTTTCGCTGGGTCACGTCAGTCAATGTTTTCAATGTCAAGGTAACGTGTGCTTGAGTGTAGAGTTTGAGTGGAGCTTAAGGTGAGAGTGGAGCTCAAGGTTAGAGCTTAAGTTTAGAGCTGAAGGTTAGAGCTTAAGGTTAGAGCTTAAGATGAGAGTAGAGCTTAAGGTTAGAATAGAGCTTAAGGTTAGAGTAGAGCTAACCGTTAGAGCTTAAGGTTAGAACTTAAGGTTAGAGCAGAGCTTAGGGTTAGAGTAGAGATTAAGGTTAGAGCTTAATGTTATAGTAGAGCTTAAGGTTAGCGTAGAGCTTAAGGTTAGAGTTGAATCCAAGGGTCCCTGTTGGGTTACCCTTGTCCTCACTATTGCTGACGTCACTAACCGCCTGATCAACCCTGTCCGCAGGTTGAGCGCCAACCCCCAGCCAACTCCCCCATGGACTACTTCCTGAAGATACAAAACAACGCGGGAAACCACGCCCACCTTTTAGCCGGCCTCTGTCAGTAAGTCTTTTGTCATGACGTCAGATTGTCATTTCCTGCTGTCATGTCTGTCCTGAGACTAACCCCCCCCCCCCACTCTATCACGTGACAGACTGGCCAACATCCCCTGCACCATCCTGAACGGGGTCAACAAGAGCGCCGCCTACGAGTGCGGCAAGCGCGTGGACCGCTCGCGCATGTCCGCCCAGTGGAACGCTGTCTACGTCAGCAACAGCTGGAGGTTCATTGACGCTTTCTGGGCCAGCTCGTGTGTCGTCGGCAAAAAGTCAGGTCAGTTGGGGTCAGTTGGGGTCAGTACAGATGGCCAAATGTCAGGTCAGTTGGGGTCAAGGTCAGTTGGGGTCAGTTGGGGTCTCAGGTCATTCGGGGTTAAGGTCAGTTGGGGTCTCAGGTCAGTTGGGGTTAAGGTCAGTCGGGGTCAAGGTCAGTTGGGGTCTCAGGTCAGTTGGGGTCTCAGGTCATTCGGGGTCTTAGGTCAGTTGGGGTCTCAGGTCAATTGGGGTCAGTTGGGGTCTTAGGTCAGTTGGGTTCTCAGGTCAGTTGGGGTCTCAGGTCAGTTGGGGTCTCAGGTCAGTTGGGGTCAGTTGGGGTCTTAGGTCAGTTGGGGTCTCAGGTCAGTTGGGGTCTCAGGTCAGTTGGGGTTAAGGTCAGTTGGGTTCTCAGGTCAGTTGGGGTCTCAGGTCAGTTGGGGTCTCAGGTCAGTTGGGGTTTCAGGTCAGTTGGGGTCTCAGGTCAGTTGGGGTCTCAGGTCAGTTGGGGTCTCAGGCCAGTTGGGGTCTCAGGTCAGTTGGGGTCTCAGGTCAGTTGGGGTTAAGGTCAGTTGGGGTCTTAGGTCAGTTAGGGTTTCAGGTCAGTTGGGGTGTAACGGACACCAATCTATCAGCCAGATAGATGGCGAACGCTCCCGGATTCGTTTAACTGATTACACACAGATGGCGACAAGCCTAAATAAAAGAAAGTTGACACACTAGCTCGCTAGGACTCGTAATTGATGTCTAGGGGAAACACTAGAGAAACTAATGATGCCAACAAAACATTTAATCTGCATATAACTTGTAATGAGTGTACAAAGTAGTGGCAGAACACTAGATTTATACAGGAATAAAAATAGATTCACAGAATGAACAAAACCCAACTTACAATTCGTGGGAAAAAATAATATGATACACTATCACAGCTTTTAACACTTCAGAAAATCACCACAGTATACACATCACTGCTATAAGCATAAAGAATTACTTAACCACAAGTAATATAATATTATGCTACTTAAACAACTTAGTACTAAACGGCAACACACAGGGCTTATGACTCTCGACGACGTCTGATCAAAATGAACTGCCTCGAAACGCCTGTGCGCAGTCTATTTATAGACTTAGGTAACATGGAAGGTCACCTTCAAATCATCAGACCATTGGTTGGGGTGGTCATCTGGTCTGAATCAATCAATCATCTCTTGATGGAAAATTTCTGAGTCTAAGACTCTCTTAGTAAGACAGCGGAAAAAACCGGTCATTGTACCACAGACCATATATGGTAAGGTAACAAATGTAACTAAAAATAACCAGACCTAAGTAGGTCACAGGGGTCTCAGGTCAGTTGGGGTCAAGGTCAGTTGGGGTCTCAGGTCAGTTGGGGGTCTCGGGTCAGTTGGGGTCAGTTGGGGTCAGTACAGATGGCCAAATGTCAGGTCAGTCGGGGTCAGTTCAGATGGCCAAAAGTAAGTCCGTTGAGGTCAGCTCAAATGGCTAAAAAGTCAGGTGAGCTGTTGTGAGCTTAGTTTTCCAGCTCGTATGTTGCCCATTGAGCTCCTGACCTGAGTTGACCTCTGCCCGCAGGTGAGTGGACCTTGATGGACTCAGACGGCGAGTTGGTCGAGGCGGACGAGGACCAGAACGAGGGGGAAACGCTGCACCGGATCAACGAGTTCTACTTCCTGCCGGACGCCGACCAGTTCATCTGGACACACTTCCCAGACGACAGCCGGTGGCAGCTGCTCCAACATCCGGTCACCTTGGCCGAGTTTGAAGAACACTACTACGTCAGAGAACGTTTTCACATTTTAGGTTCGTGTCACCTTACTATTTCCATCGTGATATATATATATATCTATATCTATATATATATATATATATATATATATATATATATATATATATATATATATATATATATATATATATATATATATATATATATATATATATATATATATATATATATATATATATATGGATATCCACACCGTCCAGAAACGCGGACAGTTCGTATCCCAAGGTCTCAATGCTGTAGCTACAAAAAAAAAGTCTTTGAAACGTCCCCCAATAGCACTTTGCGAGTTGGTCTAAAAGGTCTCTGAGACGCTCCACTGTCTGAATAGCTTCATTGTGTCGGCTCTTAGTTCCATTATAGAGACTTTACAAGAAAATTCGAAATCGATGGCTTTACAATGTGACTGGTGACATTACTATCAGAATGTGACGACATTACCATCTGAACGTGACTGACGACATTACCATCAGAATAGCTGGGCTGAGACCTCGGTATGTGAGGGCACGTTAGTGGCTGGAGTTGACTCTAACCCAAACCCTGGGGTGGGGTTTATCACTTTCTGTTCTTGAGTTTAACAAGTCACGTGATCAGGTCATGTATCACAGTTCACGCCCTTTATACCTGCTACAGGTGTGCCATGACCTTTCTACTTGTTCCAGGTCCGTCTACCTGTTGCCTGTCACTACCTGTCTACCTGTCGCCTGTCACTACCTGTCTACCTGTTACCTGTCACTACCTGTCTACCTGTCGCCTGTCACTACCTATCTACCTGTCGCCTGTCACTACCTATCTACCTGTCGCCTGTCACTACCTGTCTACCTGTTACAGGCCTGTCACTACCTGTCTACCTGTCGCCTGTCACTACCTATCTACCTGTCGCCTGTCACTACCTGTCTACCTGTTGCCTGTCACTACCTGTCTACCTGTTGCCTGTCACTACCTGTCTACCTGTTGCCTGTCACTACCTGTCTACCTGTTGCCTGTCACTACCTGTCTACCTGTTGCAGGTATGTCCAACATCGCCTCCACCAAGCTGAAGTGTGTGGCGGAGACAAAAGACGGGGAAGTAGAGTTTTGTTTCGGCCTGCCGGCAGAGCGTAGCGGCAACTTCCGGTTCAAGTACATGCTGTACCGGTCCAAGCAGGATGTGGGTGAGAACCGGGTGGATTTGTTCCTGGACCGGTTCGTCCTGTTTGAGCAAAGGGAGGACGTGCTGAGGTTCGCCCTCAGGTTCCCCATCAAGGGCAGCTTCAAGCTGGACATCTACGGCCTTGACCTCACCGACGGGGATGTGTTTGACCTCTGCTGCACGTACATCATCAACTGCCCGCAGGCCAAGAAGAACTGCATGCCGCTGCCAGACTGCCCGCCCCTGGGGTGGGGTCCGGTGGCCGAGACCCGGGCAGCTGGCCTGAAGCCCCTGACCCACAAGCAGGCGGAGGTGAGCTCCAAGGACGGGTTTGTTGAGATCCGGCTGGGCAAGGAGCGAGCCCTGGCCTTCCACCAGATGCTCAAACACGCCGTCCTGGACGAGGCGACGCTGAGCAAGTACGTGGTCACGGAGCTGGACAGCGAGCAGGCGGTCATCTACCTGCGCCTGCCGCAGAACGGCGAGTACGCCCTCAAGCTGTTCGCCCAGGGGCTGGAGGACGAGGGCGCGGCGCCCAACGTCTTGAACTACTTGATCAACTGCAGCGGCGCGGACAGCGGTCAGCCCTTCCCTAACCTGGCCAGCGGACAGCTGGGCCGGCATCAGATGAACAGCGACAAGTACGGGGTCAAGGCCGTGACCCACCCCAACGGCATGTTGGAGGCCAAGGACGGGAAGTTGAGTGTGGCCTTCACCTCTGACCCGGATGTTGAGCTGGTGTGTGAGCTGCACACGAATGACGGCAGGGCGGCGAGCAAGATGACGTCAGCGGTCAGCAATAAAAACGGCAAGTGGACGTTTGACCTTGACCTGCCTGTGAAGGGTGAGTACTCACTCAACGTGTTTGCGCGGCGGAAAGGTGAGCAAGGTCAGATCCACAGCGTGCACACCTACCTGGTGCGGTCAGCCGGCAGGGATGGTGGTGGTGATGACGTAGATGGTGTTGGTGACGTCAACGTGGTCATCCCTACAGAGACAGTGGAGACCAGCGACAGTGAGGTGAGGGGGCGGGGTGTGTGGACCCTGGGGGGTAGGGGTGGGGTGTGTGGACCCTGGGGGGCAGGGGTGTGTGGACCCTGGGGGGCAGGGGTGTGTGGACCCTGGGGGGCAGGGGTGTGTGGACCCTGGGGGGCAGGGGTGTGTGGACCCTGGGGGGCAGGGGTGTGTGGACCCTGGGGGGCAGGGGTGTGTGGACCCTGGGGGGCAGGGGTGTGTGGACCCTGGGGGGTAGGGGTGGGGTGTGTGGACCCTGGGGGGCAGGGGTGTGTGGACCCTGGGGGGCAGGGGTGTGTGGACCCTGGGGGGCAGGGGTGTGTGGACCCTGGGGGGCAGGGGTGTGTGGACCCTGGGGGGCAGGGGTGGGGTGTGTGGACCCTGGGGGGCAGGGGTGTGTGGACCCTGGGGGGCAGGGGTGTGTGGACCCTGGGGGGCAGGGGTGGGGTGTGTGGACCCTGGGGGGCAGGGGTGTGTGGACCCTGGGGGGCAGGGGTGGGGTGTGTGGACCCTGGGGGGCAGGGGTGTGTGGACCCTGGGGGGCAGGGGTGTGTGGACCCTGGGGGGCAGGGGTGTGTGGACCCTGGGGGGCAGGGGTGGGGTGTGTGGACCCTGGGGGGTAGGGGTGGGGTGTGTGGACCCTGGGGGGCAGGGGTGTGTGGACCCTGGGGGGCAGGGGTGTGTGGACCCTGGGGGGCAGGGGTGGGGTGTGTGGACCCTGGGGGGCAGGGGTGTGTGGACCCTGGGGGGCAGGGGTGTGTGGACCCTGGGGGGCAGGGGTGTGTGGACCCTGGGGGGCAGGGGTGGGGTGTGTGGACCCTGGGGGCAGGGGTGGGGTGTGTGGACCCTGGGGGGCAGGGGTGTGTGGACCCTGGGGGGCAGGGGTGTGTGGACCCTGGGGGGCAGGGGTGTGTGGACCCTGGGGGGTAGGGGCGGGGTGTGTGGACCCTGGGGGGCAGGGGTGGGGTGTGTGGACCCTGGGGGGCAGGGGTGTGTGGACCCTGGGGGGCAGGGGTGTGTGGACCCTGGGGGGCAGGGGTGTGTGGACCCTGGGGGGCAGGGGTGGGGTGTGTGGACCCTGGGGGGCAGGGGTGGGGTGTGTGGACCCTGAGGGGTAGGGGCGGGGTGTGTGGACCCTGGGGGGCAGGGGTGGGGTGTGTGGACCCTGGGGGGTAGGGGTGGGGTGTGTGGACCCTGGGGGCAGGGGTGTGTGGACCCTGAGGGGTAGGGGCGGGGTGTGTGGACCCTGGGGGGCAGGGGTGGGGTGTGTGGACCCTGGGGGGCAGGGGTGTGTGGACCCTGGGGGGCAGGGGTGTGTGGACCCTGGGGGGCAGGGGTGGGGTGTGTGGACCCTGGGGGGCAGGGGTGTGTGGACCCTGGGGGGCAGGGGTGTGTGGACCCTGGGGGGCAGGGGTGGGGTGTGTGGACCCTGGGGGGCAGGGGTGTGTGGACCCTGGGGGGCAGGGGTGTGTGGACCCTGGGGGGCAGGGGTGTGTGGACCCTGGGGGGCAGGGGTGGGGTGTGTGGACCCTGGGGGGCAGGGGTGTGTGGACCCTGGGGGGCAGGGGTGTGTGGACCCTGGGGAGACAGGGGTGTGTGGACCCTGGGGGGCAGGGGTGTGTGGACCCTGGGGGGTAGGGGTGGGGTGTGTGGACCCTGGGGAGACAGGGGTGTGTGGACCCTGGGGGGCAGGGGTGTGTGGACCCTGGGGGGTAGGGGTGGGGTGTGTGGACCCTGGGGAGACAGGGGTGTGTGGACCCTGGGGGGTAGGGGCGGGGTGTGTGGACCCTGGGGGGCAGGGGTGTGTGGACCCTGGGGAGACAGGGGTGGGGCGGGGGGGTGAGGGCCATGTTTGTGGTGGAGGGAGATGTCTTTATCGTGTGTGTGATGTTGTTGTTGTTGTTGTTGTTGTTGTTGTTGTTGTTGTTGGAGCTACACGAACTAAATGAAAAACGTTCATTTTTTAGCTACACAAGTTCAAGGTAACAGCACGTCTTTTACCCGTGCATATTCTAGCTCTACCTGTATGCTGCTGTTGTTGACTGTCTCCAGTCTACCTGTATGCTGCCCATTTAATCCCCTGTTTTACCTGTATGCTTCTCGTGTGTCGACTTACTGCCCCCTGTTTATGTTGCACGTCTGATGAGTGACGTCTGGGTGTTGTCTAGATGGAGACACCCCCACATTTCTCGCTGCTGTGGTTTATCTCTTCACAAACCCGAGCCCTAACGTGGCCCGCTAGAGCCGACTAGAAAACAAACGTCAGCCCAGCGCTCATTAAAAACACATTAAACTCGATTGAATACATTGACGGGACGTTCAAATCAATACAGTCGATAAAATCGATAGGTCATGTGACAAACGACTCGGGTAAATGTTGACCTGTATGTATCGCATCATGGGAGGAAAGCTAGGTGACCTACATTCCATCCAGTGACGTCACTAGATCAGGTCCAAGGACGTCACTAGCCTAGGTTATACCCCTCTCCCCTATACCAACAACTACGTGTATGATAAACTAAAGCTAAAGGCATGATGGTGTCACCCCGAATGGTGTCATCCCGAATGGTGTCACCCTGTGTCTCATGATGTACTGAACTTGAATACGTTTATAAAGTATTACCAGTCAGCCGTTCTGATTAAATATAGACATATTTCGTTTTGGTGTCACCCCCTACCTTGTATGGTGTCACCTGGCGCTATCCTCACCACCCTCCCCTCCCCTATTGATCCCATCATGACCACCCAGATAAACTGTTTACTTCCGGTCGCACAAAGTACAAAGTGTCCTGTCGTGTGGCATCGTGAGCACATGCTGCATGCCGTGTGTGTGTGTGCCCTACTTGTGTGTGTGTGTCCTACTTATGTGTGTGCCCTACTTGTGTGTGTGTCCTACTTATGTGTGTGTGTCCTACTTATGTGTGTGCCCTACTTGTGTGTGTGTGTGTCCTACTTATGTGTGTGCCCTACTTGTGTCTGTGTGCCCTACTTATGACCTAGTTTGTGTATACCACATCAGTGGGTCGCTACTAATTAGCTAATTAGCTCTGATAACTAAGTTCATATTTCTGGCAGTGTTTAAATGATGACGTCATTATAACATGTTTAAGGTGGGTTGGGGGGGGGGGGGGGGTCAAGTGCTGCTTTCTGATTGGCCAGCTAACAAATAGTGTCCGGCTAAAATATCGAGTGCTGTTTTATTAGATGAAAAATAATTTAGATCCTTGACCTAGTTTCCCGTTGTCTAGGTGATGATCCCCGTCCCCCCGGGCTGCAGGCGAGCGGTGGCTGCCGTACACAGGAGGAACGGGAACGACGCCCCTGACCCCAACCAGATCGAGTTCATCTCGGCAGACGACATGGACCTGGTCAAGGTCAAGCTCAAGGACTACGGCGAGTACATGCTCAACTTGTACAAAGTGGACGAGAACGCTAATGTGGTGAGTGGAAGTTAGATCACTCTTGTATATCTTACGTGTACAAAGTGGACGAGAACGCTAATGTGGTGAGTGAAAGTTAGATCACTTGAGGATATCTTACGTGTACAAAGTGGACGAGAATGTTAATGTAGTAGATCATTTGTTCAAGATTTGACATGAAGGTTTATGTTAGGCTTAAATTTAGAAAGATTAAGTCACATACCAATACCATCGCCACACAACATTGTCATACAACATCACACAACATCACACAACATCACACAATATCACACAACATCACACAACATCACACAACATTACACAACATCACACACTATCACACACCATCACACAACATCACACAACATCACACAACATCATAACATCACACAACATCATAACATCACACAACATCACACACCACACCTGTCAGTCACACCTGTCAGTGACTGACCTTGAAATGTTACCTGATCCGCAGGTGGAGAACGTGGCCAAGTACCAGATCAACCGACGCCGACCTGGCGAGCTCTACAACAACAACATCAGCACCATCATGGACGACATCAAGCCCAGCAGACAAGACACTGATGACGTCAAGATGGGCGGGACTGAAGGTCAGCCAATCGCGTGTCACTTTACAAATTACATTAGCAGAACGATCAGATGTTCTCACATCTCAATAGATTGGGTCTAGATTGAGTTGGATAGAAACACGAGGTTTTAGCGACCAGTTGACCTGGTTTCTTTGTACACGTGTACAAGTTAGTGTACACAACAATGTCATAGTCATACCTAAAGTGTCATTTTGTTCAAGATTTGAGATGAAGGCTAACCTTTGACCTCTTGATTTCCCCTCGACCAATCAGAAGACAACAAACGGCTGGCCAGGAAGAACGTGCAGAACGCCCTTGACCTTAAAGACCAGCGCCGTCTGGAAGAAGCCGTCCAGAAGTTTCTTGAGACGGGTATCGATACCAACGATCCGCTGCTGGTCAAGGCCAAACAACAACTGGACATCATGAAGGCCAAAGCTGGTGGGTGGTATACTGTACACATGGTACACATAGTACACACAGTACACATGGTACACATAGTACACATAGTACACGCAGTACACACTGTACACACTGTACACATTGTACACATGGTACACATAGTACACATGGTACACATAGTACACATGGTACACATTGTACACACTGTACACACTTTACATAATGTACACGTGGTCTGTTGCTATACAGCCTACACGGTGTGGGAGATTGTAAAGTTGTGTGAGGTAGTGTGTGGTTGTGTGAGGTTGTGTGTGATTGTGTGAGGTTGTGTTAGGTTGTTAGGTTGTGTGTGATTGTGAGTTTGTGTGATCGTGTGTGATTGTGTGAGCTTATGTGAGGTTGTGTGAGGTGGTGTGTGATCGTGTGGAGTGTGGGCCTATGTGAGGTTGTGTTGACGTCTCCTCCCCCCTCCCCACCCCCAGAGCTGGTCGAGGCCACACAGAGACGAGACATGGCGGCCCTAGAGAAGGCCATAGCCAAAGCCAAGAGCGTCAACGGCAAGCACGACCTTGACCTCCAGATCGCCTTGGCGGTCAAGCTGAGGGAGCACCTGGCCAAGATCGAGAAACTTCGTCACGCCGTGCTCAACATGGAGGGCAAGACCATCTCGGAGATCAAGTCCTACTCCAACCCGCCGGATGGCGTCCATCAGTGTCTGATGGCCACATTCCTGCTGCTGGGTCATCAGCTTAAGGAGCTCAATGTAAGCAATGTTACGTCATCAGCTTTATGTAAGCAGTGTTACGTCACCGGCTTAATGTAAGCAGTGTTACGTCATCGGCTTTATGTAAGCAGTGTTACGTCATCGGCTTTATGTAAGCAGTGTTACGTCATTGGCATTATGTAAGCAGTGTTACGTCATCGGCTATGTAAGCAGTGTTACGGCATTATTGTAGTATCATATGATTAGTGTAGTTTAAAGAATGAGTGTTAAGTGTCAACAGGATGTCATCATTAAATACATCATGACCTAATTATAAACCACGTGCCCCCCCCCCCCCCCCCCAGGCGTGGCAGAAGGTGCAGGCCCTGATGGGGAAGACAGGCCGTGAGTCAGTCATGCGGAAAATCTCCCAGTTTGAGGCCCAGACGGCGTCTTTAAAGAGCGCTCAGATCGCCAAGAAGATTGTGGAGCCCTACACAAAGGAGCAGATCCGTGACGTCAGCGCAGGGGCGGCTACCTTCTACATATGGGTAAATACGTCATCAGAGAGATTTCTATGGCTAGGATGTTACAATTAGTCCTCATGTCTCACCTATTGTCTCACCTGTTGTGTCCTCATGTCTCACCTATTGTCTCACCTGTTGTGTCCTCGTGTCTCACCTATTGTGTCACCTATTCATGTCTCACCTATTGTGTCACCTATTCTGTCACCAGGCTCTAGGTATGATCGAAGAAGTTGAATCTTACGGCGGATCAGAGCAGAACGACCAGATGCACCTTAAGAAGTAATGGCTGGGGGGGGGGGGGGCCTTTGTGGGGGTCAAGTTATGTGGGGTCAAGTTATGTGGGGGTCAATTTATGTGGGGGTCAAGTTATGTGGGGGTCAAGTTATGTGGGGGTCAAGTAAAACTCTAGTCGACAGGTACTGGAGATATTTCTCTTTAAGTTATTACTTGCTTTTGTTATTTAGCCAGTCTCGTATATTTCTTGCTTGTCATTTTGTGATTAGCCATCCTATTGTATTGTTGATTCACCACGTGATACATCACGTGATGACCGTTACTTTTGCTGAACGAGCTTCCCTGTGATACCTGTTTGACTTTTTGTCATTCCAAACATATCGGCCTTCCATAAGTGGACACTGGCCAAACATATCGGCCTTCCATAGGTGGACACTGGCCAAACATATCGGCCTTCCATAGGTGGACATTGGCCAAACATATCGGCCTTCCATAGGTGGACACTGGCCTAACATATCGGCCTTCCATAAGTGGACACTGGCTAAACATATCGGCCTTCCATAAGTGGACACTGGCTAAACATATCGGCCTTCCATAAGTGGACACTGGCCAAACATATCGGCCTTCCATAGGTGGACATTGGCCAAACATATCGGCCTTCCATATGTGGACACTGGCCAAACATATCGGCCTTCCATAGGTGGACACTGGCCAAACATATCGGCCTTACATAGGTGGACATTGGCCTAACATATCGGCCTTCTATAGGTGGACACTGGCCAAACATATCGGCCTTCAATAAGTGGACACTGGCCAAACATATCGGCCTTCCAGAAGTGGACCACAATTTTAACACTAGCATTGAAGCACCACACAAATAAAGCATAAAAAAATAAACAAAAAAATCGCGACATTCTCAACTGGGGGTTGTAACTGCAATCATTCCAGACATTTTTTTTAAAACAAATATCTGACTTGTGTACATGTTTTAATTATTTAAATAATTATTATTCGATTATAAATTATATAATGTGTAAATAACATTTCTCTAATATATCCCATGTATTTGAATAAAAATGAGGGAATATAATTTTTTTTCTTGTTTTTTCCTGGTGTAAGTGACATCACGTTGAAAAACGAATCGTGAGATGTTAATATGTGTACGGTAACAACACTGGCTTTACCAACAGAAACATATTTCCATTGTTGTTATGTCCGTTTTACTTTCAAATAGTGTACGAAAATTTTAAAAAGGGTGATAACAATGTAAACTTCATTTTAAAAAATATTAATATTGTTACTTCCCTTTGACCATGATTTTGAAAAAAACTTCAACATTTTGAAATAATTACATTGTTGTTTCCCTTAGATTACAATTATATTATTATTTACAATTATTATTCATTAATTATAATTATATAATAATTATATAAATATGTTCATAATATATTAAATACTTTATTGCTTAAATATTTTTATCTTCTCACGTCTGTTATGTAAATAAATTTATTTTTAATTGATACAAAGTTAACCTTACATTTTAAACAATGTGTAGCTACTAAAATTTAATTACAATAAATTCGAAATACTGAGCAATAATACTTGTTTTTATGCGTTAACAATAAGATAATATTTTAATTGCGGTCGATTTAGCATTTATATAGATAATAACGGAAATTTCATGATTGGTTAAAAATTAAACAAAAAAGTGCTACTTCACTTTAATACACATTATTCCATTAAGCAAAAAAATCCATCCAACATTATTTTCGAATGTAACTCTTTAGAAACTAAAGTTACGAAAAAAAAATTCTCTAGACAATGTTTTTTGTTTGGAAATAGCGATAATAGAAGAGCCAGGAACTATAAATCTTGGTTAACACAATTCATTAAAATATTTTTATTGTTGTTTCCCTTAGACCAGGCTTTTAAAATTTGACTAATGTCTATACCAGGGGTCGGCAACCTGCGGCTCGCGAGCCGCATGCGGCTCTTTTGATATCAAGATGCGGCTCTCCAGTTCCTTGAACAAATACTAATACACTTAATTAAAAAATAAAATATTTGAAATAAAAAAAATGTTAGTGGCTCTTTAAAACCAGGGTAATTTTGAAAATTTTAACTTTTGGCTCTTCCGCTTCAAAAGGTTGCCGACCCCTGGTCTATACATTAAATAATAGATAACAGATAACGATATTTTTATTGGTAATCTATCGTTTTAGGTACGACACGGTACGTAAAATCGCCCGCAACTAATAATGTGAAAAACAGGTGACTCCTTAAAATGCCTTAAATTGTAAATTATTTCACATTTTGAGGAGGATTTATGTTTTGAAAAATACAAAAATGTTTCCTTGTTTAATTTATGTACCTGTTTTTAAACAACTGAATTAAAACTTTTCAGTAATAAATGAAGACTAGCGATGTCTCCAACATTTACTATAGCAGCCATCTTGTTTATTTTTTTTTTTGTGTAAACTTATAGCGCAAGATTCAGGGGAAGCCACTCCAACTTACAAATGGCTGCTGTTTATATAGCAAATCCTGCTCGCAAACACTGCCGTTTAAGTTAATTTCTTGCCTATATTGATATATTTAGCCATTGATTTAGGTTTATTATTCATTTATCTATAATATTTGACACAAATATATCACAATATAGTATATACTACTTCTATTAAAGACTTGACAATGAGGTTACTTTTTCGTACATTACTAGCCGCGGGCGATTTTTACGTATTTATTTAACTTTAACTTGCCACAAACTTTACATTTACATTAATTTGTTAATAAGACCTTCTTTGCAAATAGATTCAGCCTTTCGCTAGAACTAAGTAATAGCATAAATTGCATAAATCATCCTAGCCTATGTGCCAGTATGTGGCAAATTATTAATTACGATTATAGAAGTAGCAGTTAATTTATATATATATATATATATATATATATATATATATATATATATATATATATATATATTCCATGTATATTTTTAATGAAAATATATGTTTATTTTTAAAGAATCAAGACTCTCATATTCTAATACATATTTTAATTATATTATGGTTAATTGGTCTGTAATTTTTGAAAGTTGCTACTAATTTTAGGAAATATATTTAAATTTAGGTAAATCCGTTTGTAAAGTGAAATCGATTACAAAACTAACTTACCAAACCAGCAAACAACAACAGCAGTTAACCAAAACACAACAATTGCAAGTAGAAATGTTTATTTCACATCAGTGGTTAAATATATGTACATATTTGATACAACACGGGTTTATTTACATGAGTCAAGGGTGGGTGTTTGCATCACAAGACATTTACTGTAGCTCTTCAAATAACAGACACAATCAGAAAGGTTTTAATATCATCATGTCATCTCTCACTAAGCTTCTCTCATCAAATTAAAACAAAGTGTGTATTTATTGTTTACTACAAGTCCAATAAAAGAGGCCAACACATTGGCACTAAAACAAGACTCCAATACAACTACACTGGAACAACAGTAACGAGCCAGTACCCTAATTAATTCACCTGTGTTGATTGCAACTTTTTGATTCTCCTTGATAAGCACACAAGTGATATGTTTAGAGTATCTATACACTTAGTAGATAACTAAACAGGGGGGAGGGGGACAATAAATGAATAAGTTTCATTGGCTCATTACTTTAAGTTGCCTTGGTTTATAAAATTTGAGATTCTAAAACATTTTTTTAAATTGTGCCTCACTGCACAAGTTGTATATGTTCAGTGTTGATGCATTCATCAAGATGTATGAAATATGTGCAAGTCATACAAGATGTATGAAATATGTGGAAGTCATACAAGATGTATGAAATATGTGAAAGTCATACAAGATGTATGAAATATGTGGAAGTCATACAAGATGTATGAAATATGTGAAAGTCATACAAGATGTATGAAATATGTGGAAGTCATACAAGATGTATGAAATATGTGAAAGTCATACAAAAACAAGGCACTCAAGTCACAGCTAGGCCAACCCTCACTAAATCAGTACAACTATGAGCTAGCCCAACCCTCAAGAAATAAATCAATACAACTTACAACTAGGCCAACCCTCACTAATTCAAAATGTCCTGTGCAACAGGTATGCCTATGTACAATGATTAATGATACAATAATTTGTTCAGAATAGTTGATCTTTTATAACAAATTACAATTGGACATATTTTAATTTTACATGGTTATCATTTTAACAAGTTGACAAGATCAATTAAGATTGTTCTGAAAAAAAAAAAAAACATTCTCTATTTACATCATCAATCTAGATAGTAATGAAACAATACCATGTGAAAACACATGAAGATTATCTACAACATCATTGAAAGGAAGACACCAGCACTGCAACATTTCACCAAAGTTGATAGCCCAGTTACAGCTCACACTGCTGACTTTTAGATCCACCGCAGCCCACTAATCAAGTGGCCCACTAATCAAGTGGCCCACTAATCTATTGGCCCACTAATCGAGTAGCCCACTAATCAAGTGCCCCACTAATATAGTAGCCCACTAATCAAGTGGACCACTAATCAAGTAGCCCACTAATCAAGCGGACCACTAATCAAGCGGCCCACTAATCAAGTAGCCCACAAATTCAGTGGCCCACTAATCAATTGGCCCACTAATCAATTGGCCCACTGATCGAGTAGCCCACAAATTCAGTGGACCACTAATCAAGTGGCCCACTGATCGAGTGGACCACTAATCAAGTAGCCCACTAATCAATGGGGTTAGGAGCTGGATATTTCAACACTACATGTCTGTCATGGCCCATAAACAATAATACTGACACTGTCTCATGTGTTTCATGTCTTACTGACACTGTCTCATGTCTTACTGACACTGTCTCATGTGTCTCATGTCTTACTGACACTGTCTCATGTCTTACTGACACTGTCTCATGTGTCTCATGTCTTACTGACACTGTCTCATGTGTCTCATGTCTTACTGACACTGTCTCATGTGTCTCATGTCTTACTGACACTGTCTCAAGTCTTACTGACACTGTCTCATGTCTTACTGACACTGTCTCATGTCTTACTGACACTGTCTCATGTCTTACTGACACTGTCTCAAGTCTTACTGACACTGTCTCAAGTCTTACTGACACTGTCTCATGTGTCTCATGTCTTACTGACACTGTCTCATGTCTTACTGACACTGTTTCATGTCTTACTGACACTGTCTCAAGTCTTACTGACACTGTCTCATGTGTCTCATGTCTTACTGACACTGTCTCATGTGTCTCATGTCTTACTGACACTGTCTGATGTATCTCATGTCTTACTGACACTGTCTCATGTCTTACAATTGAAGATAATCTTCAAGTATTAGAAGTACCAAAAACATAAGGCAATGTTAAAAATGAGAGAAGAAAATAAAGTTGGGGAGATACGACAAAAAACTTGCCTAAGCACAACTGGCGTACATATTTGACTGCAACAATAGCACAACTGGCGTATGTATTTGATGCAACTATAGTTTTACAAAATCTTGGGGTCTAACAAGACAGTCCAATAAAACATCTACAAGACAGTCCAATAAAACATCTACAAGACAGTCCAATAAAACATCTACAAGACAGTCCAATAAAACATCTACAAGATAGTCCAATAAAACATCTACAAGACAGTCCATAAAAAACAAGCTGTTAAGATATTGTCACAAGTACATTAATTAATTTGAAATTTTCACAAAAATTACAACGCTTTGATTAACCTCATTTTTTTTAACTAAATGATTAACATAAACTATTCCATCCACATACATCAATCATAGACCTCGTACATCTATCATAGACCACCTACATCTATAATAGACCACGTATATCTATCATAGACCTCGTACATCTATAATAGACTACGTATGTCTATCATAGACCTCATACATCTATCATAGACCACGTATGTCTATCATAGACCTCGTACATCTATCATAGACCTCGTACATCTAACATAGACCACCTACATCTATAATAGACCACGTATGTCTATCATAGCCCTCGTACATCTATAATAGACTACGTATGTCTATCATAGACCTCGTACATCTATCATAGACCTCGTACATTTATCATAGACCTCGTACATCTATCATAGACCTTGTGTGTGACAACATGTGACAAAATGTCCTAACTTTCCACCACTCTAACTGTCGCAAGGTTAACCGTTAACAACTGTAGTTAAGGTTGTTGTGTAACTAATTAAATAGTTACAAATGTCTAATGGCCTTTTTATTACAAAATTGCAGAAGTGAAATGGAAAAAAGGTTTGATATAAACAGTAAGAAACTAGAGGCTATCAATTTTCCAACAAGCAACTATTGGTCAGTTCCAACAGACCTAGTAGAGCCACTGCGTGTAATAGACTGGCCAACTTTTTACAGGAGAAACTCGAGTCCCATTAGTTCACACTACAAGAAAGGATTCTTGAGTTAAGTTCACACTACATGAAAAGATCCTTGAGTTAAGTTCACACTACAAGAAAAGATCCTTGATAAGTCACACTACAAGAAAAGATCCTTGATAAGTCACACTACAAGAAAAGATCCTTGAGTTAAGTTCACACTACAAGAAAAGATCCTTGATAAGTCACACTACAAGAAAAGATCCTTGAGTTAAGTTCACACTACAAGAAAAGATCCTTGATAAGTCACACTACAAGAAAAGATCCTTGAGTTAAGTTCACACTACAAGAAAAGATCCTTGAGCTAAGTTCACACTACAAGAAAAGATCCTTGAGGTTAAGAAATTCAAACTGTATTTTAAAACTATTTTTATTTAAAGATATTTAAAGAAAATTAATGATCAAATGACAACAATTTGTCAAAGTCACATGACTGTAAAACTTTAAAAAAACCATGTCTCATATATTGAATCATATATTTACATTGGAATCATTTAGTCACATGATACCTGGGAACAGAAAAACTTAAAAATCAATAACTTAATCATTGTTCATGTACAAGAGTAATTGCCCATCATTGTTCATGTACAAGAGTAGTTGAGTAATTGCCCATCATTGTTCATGTACAAGAGTAATTGCCCATCATTGTTCTTGTACAAGAGTAGTTGAGTAATTGCCCATCATTGTTCATGTACAAGAGTAATTGCCCATCATTGTTCATGTACAAGAGTAGTTGAGTAATTGCCCATCATTGTTCATGTACAAGAGTAGTTGAGTAATTGCCCATCATTGTTCTTGTACAAGAGTAGTTGAGTAATTGCCCATCATTGTTCTTGTACAAGAGTAGTTGAGTAATTGCCCATCATTGTTCATGTACAAGAGTAGTTGAGTAATTGCCCATCATTGTTCTTGTACAAGAGTAGTTGAGTAATTGCCCATCATTGTTCTTGTACAAGAGTAGTTGAGTAATTGCCATCAGAAGGTTAGTGGTTCCTGCTCAATATTTGTTTACCCTTTTTCTACTGTTGGCCACCCCACAAGCAACTGGCCATACATTGGCCAAAGGCCACCACAAGCCCAGCTGTACAGCCAACAAACTGGCTATACATTGGCCAATGGCCACCACAAGCCCCGATGTATAGCCAACAGATTGGACATATGAGCAATGATGAAACATGACCATGACCTATTATCACACATTAAGAACACAAGCTGTTTACCCACTGTGTGTAATGAATCCCTTTACTAGCCCATGAATTGGAAAAAAAAATGAAGAGTGCACAACTTCTATTTGTCAAACACTGAATGTAAACATTGCACTACTGGTGTTGATGTGCTGATACCTTCAAGAGCTGCTCTATCACAAGACCTGACTGGCAGCACTCTGGATTCAGTGAATCAAACCTTCAAGAGCTGCTCTATCACCTGACTGGCAGCACTCTGGATTCAGTGAATCAAACCTTCAAGAGCTGCTCTATCACCTGACTGTCAGCACTCTGGATTCAGTGAATCAAACCTTCAAGAGCTGCTCTATCACAAGACCTGACTGGCAGCACTCTGGATTCAGTGAATCAAACCTTCAAGAGCTGCTCTATCACCTGACTGTCAGCACTCTGGATTCAGTGAATCAAACCTTCAAGAGCTGCTCTATCACAAGACCTGACTGGCAGCACTCTGGATTCAGTGAATCAAACCTTCAAGAGCTGCTCTATCACCTGACTGTCAGCACTCTGGATTCAGTGAATCAAACCTTCAAGAGCTGCTCTATCACAAGACCTGACTGGCAGCACTCTGGATTCAGTGAATCAAACCTTCAAGAGCTGCTCTATCACAAGACCTGACTGGCACCACTCTGGATTCAGTGAATCAAACCTTCAAGAGCTGCTCTATCACCTGACTGGCAGCACTCTGGATTCAGTGAATCAAACCTTCAAGAGCTGCTCTATCACAAGACCTGACTGTCAGCACTCTGGATTCAGTGAATCAAACCTTCAAGAGCTGCTCTATCACAAGACCTGACTGGCAGCACTCTGGCTCAAGTAGATGACGGCACCCACAAAGTTTACCCCGGCAGCAATGACAAACACAGGCAGCCACCTCCCATGGGACTGGGTCACCAGTTCAGCAGTCAGGGGTCCACACAAGATGCCTGGAATGGTGGCCTGTCAAAGGATAGCAAACTTTAGACAAGTTACTTAAGTACAAGTTACTTGAGTACATGAATCACTTACTTTTACCAATGCATAACTAGCATTGACATATTTATGAATAACACAGGGTCAGCAAATCAACTGACTAGGGAAGGGGCAGATAATTATCTTTCAGAGATCATTAGATACTGATCAGGTTTTAAAGCATATATTTTTAATCAAAGCCTATGTTGTGTCGACTTAATTTAACTCTTTACAGTCTAATGTCAAAATAAATTTTCAACTATGGGCAATATAAATACATAAATTAAAACTATTTAAAATGCTTTGAATATGGTGATACTGGAAAAGAAAGTAGTTCCTATGAACATTGTTTTTAACTTTTAAAATTAACATTATTTCTATATAGCAAAAGTAAACTAACGAGTTATTTAGCCTCATACATAAGGAACTTAAAAATTTTCTTGCATGATGCTTCTTGTTACACTTTATTAAATATGTAAATATGTTTCACTAATTTATTTGTAAGTGTCTGTTTGAAAAATGTGTCATCTTTATGCCAAGCTGTACAGGAAGAAAAACAATTTTTACACTTGGATTGTAAATGGTGAAGAACGAGCGGAAAGCAAAAAAAAATAACCAATCATTTTCAAAGAATTAACTATTGACTCAATATCTTAATTTTTTAAATCCACAATTATTAAAAAGTAGAAAATAAAATAAAAAACATCCCTTCTATTGTAACAGCAGGTTACTCATAAGGTTTTTTACAAATCTTAACAACCAATGATTTTACTTAATAATGCCAGTTTCATAGTTTTATTTCCAAAAGCCTAAAATTATAAAAGTTTGTATAGTTGTTTAGTTTTACTTACAAGAGTATTTGAAATAGCAAAGGTAATTCCAGCGTGGTTAGGCGCAACCTCCGCGTGGTTGCTTAGGTGACCGGAGGAGTTGCACGCACTTAGCCCCAGGGAGATGGACACAAAACTGGAACATGGAAAATGGGAGTTAGCTGACAAACACATCACCACTGCACTATTTGGCTGGTTCAAAAACTGTTGTAGAAGCTAACTCTACACAATAATTTCAGGGCTACAGTACAGATAATCTACACACAAATCTACACACTAATCTACAAACTAATCTGCACACAAATCTACACACAAAGATATAAGAGCTTACAAGACAGCTAATGGCAGGTTGTAGACAGCACTGAAGAATAAAATAAAAAGCCCAGGTCCAAGCAAGCCTATAGATGTCATGAGGCGACGCACAGACAGAACTGTCCACTTGTGGCCTATCAATGCATCAGCAAAATGGGCAGCCACTGGGGAGTAATATATTTCAATTGTATTTGGTGGACTGATATCTACATGACAGGTTTTATATTTGATGTGTGGACTGATATCTACATGACAGGTTTTATTTGATGTGTGGACTGATATCTACATGACAGGTTTTATATTTGATGTGTGGACTGATATCTACATGACAGGTTTTATATTTGATGTGTGGACTGATATCTACATGACAGGTTTTATATTTGATGTGTGGACTGATATCTACATGACAGGTTTTATTTGATGTGTGGACTGATATCTACATGACAGGTTTTATATTTGATGTGTGGACTGATATCTACATGACAGGTTTTATATTTGATGTGTGGACTGATATCTACATGACAGGTTTTATATTTGATGTGTGGACTGATATCTACATGACAGGTTTTATATTTGATGTGTGGACTGATATCTACATGACAGGTTTTATATTTGATGTGTGGACTGATATCTACATGACAGGTTTTATATTTGATGTGTGGACTGATATCTACATGACAGGTTTTAAGTGCATTTGGTGTGTGTAGGCAAACTAATGTATTTATATTTGATGTGTGGACAAATATCCACATTTTATATTTCAAGCACAATTGGGTCGAGTAAAATAAAATAAGAATACTAGGGCCTTACCAACACTAACAAGAGAGTTCATGATATAAGGCACAGCAGTGGACATCATATGTGACTGGTTAGCGCCAAGTGTGGATGATAAATATGTGGGCAGCCACTGCATGATAATATAGTTGGACCAGTTCATGCTGAAGTGGGCTATGTAGATGGACCACAGCGGCCAGTGTGTGATAAACTCCATCCACCTCACATTGGAATTACTCACCTGAAAAAAACAGAACTTCATTCAGTCTCACCTTATACATGATTCTAAAGAATAGATCAATGTGGTATCTAAACCTTCCCTACCTTTGGGGGATCGACAAATTCCTCCTCTAAAATACCCCTGGCCTCTGCGTACATGAAGTACCAGACACCCACCCAGACAAAACCCATCAGACCAAACAGGTAGAACATCCATGGCCAAGGTAGATGGGGACAGACCTGGCAGGAATAAAACAACACAAATCTTTAGGGCGCTAATTCGTTTGTTCTCTTCTAAAACTGATCATCACAAAAACTTCTAACAGAAATAGTTACCGTTCAGATGCCAGTGTGACACACCTCATTCAATCAATTTTAATTAATATTCAGCTTTAGAACAAAATAATTTACAAATAGCCTCTCAATTTTAGCACACTCCTAGATATTAGTATACAATAGCATAGACATTAGCAAAGATGTAACGGAATATGCAAAAAGATCTTTTTCTCAATTCATTTAAAACCACATATTTTAAATAGATATTAATTCATTGTAATTGAAGGCTCTACACACTAATACAACATTGTCAAGAAAGTTGTTTTTTTAAGGAAAGAGAATTTTTTTTAATATTAATTGTTTCAGCAGAAAGTTTCCTTCAAACAGAAAACATATTTTCACCACTAAAACTGAAGAGTTACATCTTTGCTTTATTTAAATTGTACACATTATTTCAAATTGCATTATTCAGACAATACTTTTCTGTATTTCAACAGCTGCAGCTCAACACTTTCAAAAATGTAAATGTGTAAGAAAATGTAACTGACCAGTGAAGCAACAGTTTGTCCTATAGAGCCAAATGCTACAAGATAACCAAAAGCTCTTGATCTTTCCTCACAAGGTATTGCATGAGAAAATATGTGAAAAATAGTGGGCAGCCCTGAACATAAAAAAAAAACACAAGCTCAATTCTGCTATAGTTGCACTCTGTACATATGAATAAGGAGCTTACATTTGACATATTTAAAAGAGAGGAAAAAAGCTAATTTATTTTAAAAAATAAACCTTACCCAATCCTTCACCGAGACCAAGTATAACTCTGGAGAATATTAGTGTATACAGTGAATGGGAAAACAATGGCACCAAAAATGTTGACAAAGACCATAAAATCACAGCAAGACTTAAGATTTTTTTTCCACCATATTTTTTTGAAGCACTTCCTCCAAGAATCTGAGTTAAGAAAAGAAAAAGCAATTTACGGTTATAAGCCTACTGTTTATATAGGATTAGTTTGTTCTCATTCAGCCTTTTTTTTAGTGATGAACATGTTTATGTTAAATATTTTTTATCATTTTCACACCACTAGTGTTACCAATTATCTATCCATTGTTTTTTTTACTCTCTCGTAAGACTAACTTAAATTAAAAACTCTTGTATTTTGATTAAAAACATCATCAATTAAAAATATTTCATAACAAGCTTCCAAAAATGTCCTACTGAATCAAAATGACTAAAATGACTTTAGAATGGTATCTAGTTATTTAATGTACCTGACTACTCATGTATCCAACAGCAAATGAACTCAGTACCCATCCTTGTTGGTGTAAATCCCATTTGAATTCTTGGGCCATTGATACAATGGCAATAGGCATGATTACCCTATCGGCTGAATTGATGAAATTAGCCACTGAGCAGAGAGCAATGATGCGAGAAGGCTTTGTTAACATGTTTGTTGGTTATGTTCACACAAAATGTGTCTTTAAGAAAATGTAGCAGCTTGGAACAACATGATAGTAAACTTTCCTACCCGACCTGAAAGAAAGAAACTTTATATTTTAGTGATTTTTACATTTCAGGCTGTACATTTGATGACTTCATGGTCTGTAGTTGTTTTGCTATAATTATTACAAGTTAAGTTAGGCAAAATAAACAACCTCAATTGAGGACATGTCTAACTGCCTACAAATTTTACTTAAATTTAAATGAATAAATTCAGAATAAGTAAGCAAATGCTACACTAAAAATACGCAAGTATTCCAAGATGAGAATGGGGTTTTAGCACAAGAATTTATGGACGCTTAACGTTTGCATTGAGGGGCTCTCTCAGAAACTTAGTTATCCATACAAACATGTGAAAAATAAACAAGTCCAAATCCTTCAGGAAACAAGGAAAGGACTAGTCTATATAGCATATGCAATTAAAACAGACATAAAATTATTTTTAGAAACGCCCTTGTGTCCTCGACAATATGTAAAAGAAAACAAAAGAATATCTCAAATCACCCTATGTGATTACGACAGTCTTTCATACTGCGTGAAGACTGAAGACACACATATCAATAGGCATGTACTAGAATCTATACTAGATCTAACTAAAGTACTAAAGTAAACTAAAGTCAAACTAAAGTGTAACTAAAGTGTAACTAAAGTAGATCTACTAGATCTAGATCTAAATGTCTAGAGTCTAGATCCAGGGGCGTAGCGAGGGGGGGGGGGGGGGCGGGGGGTGCGGACCGCACCGGGTGACACCATTTAGGGGGGTGACACCAAGGCAAAAAATAGCAAAAGATATAGAGAAAAACTTGAGGGGGGTGCAAAACGAAAGTTTGAGGGGGGGGGGGGTTGCAAATCAAAAACTTGAGGGGGGGGTGCTAATCGAAAGTTTGAGGGGGGGGTGCAAATCAAAAACATGAAAGTTTGTCCCCGGGAAGGGTTGCAACGCCTCTGGGGGGGGGGGGGGGTGACACCATTAAGTGCCGCACCGGGTGACACCCGACCTCGCTACGCCACTGTCTAGATCTAATAAAGACTAAAGTTGTCTGAAGATTTAGAAATGAAACTGAAGAGTGGGTGGCCTAATTCTGAAAAAGTGAAAGGCTTCTTTTTAGTTCCAGCTCCTGATCCTCTACTCACTTCATTCTAACCAGAAAAGGGCATAGGCAAGACTATTTGTCTAACTAAATCTTAGAACAGAACAAAAAAAAATTTTAAGCTAGTCTAGCTAGACCTCTCTAGTCTCGACTAGCTGAGCTACCACTCAGCTAACTCAGCTGCTCAGAATCTAGTCTAGTTCTAGATCTTAGATTTAAATCTAGATCTAGATCAAGACTCTAGGTCTAGAATAAATATTCTGCAAAAGAAAAATGTATACCATCTTTGACCTACACACTCAAAAATTAAATAATAAACCAGTTGTGAACTTGACGTGGCAAACGTATCGCTGAAACCATTTTGTTTGCGATGACTAGATTCTTGATAGACAAAAATCTATAAAAAGTCGAATTCAAAAATAAAAACGAACAACATTATTTTATTGTTAGCCTATCTAACTTTTTATTAAAACAACGCGTTTTCGTTAGGCTACTCGATTCATTTTAGATCTAGATGCTAGAAATGTAAATTAAAGATCCTCGTCTGCTTTAATTACAATTTTTTTAAGATAATAAATACATTTTGTCTAGGCCTATAATATATCTAATTTTTTTTTATTAAAATAGGTCTAAACTCTGATGACCTATTGTTAATGTCACTATTGACTATGTTAGTGATTGACTAATAATAATTTTGTAATAGACATAGATCTATGTAGACTAACGAAAAACAAACCTTAATTAATAATTTAATTATGTATTGCTTTAAGGTAGTCTAGTAGTAGGCATAATGGGAGCAGTATGTACTATGTAAGCCTATTACTAAACATTAATTTACGGTTAGATCTATTTAGATTTAGTGGTCTTCATATTCTTAAGGGGGGGGGGGACCATTTTGTATTTTAAAAGGTAATGTTAGAAAGCGTTGTTTTTTTAATCGCAAGCTTTAATTTCACTAGCGTCCTCTGTTTGGAAATTAGGCATCCAATTAAGTCGAATTTATTGTCAGATTGCACTGTTTTTGTGTTTTGACCCACAACTTTGAAACGAATCTGTCAGTTAGCCTATAAGTGCCCGAAATTTGGCTCGCTCGTTTCGAATTATGATAACAGACAGACTGACGACAGACAGACAGAGGAAGCAAGTTAAATAAAATCTTGTAAAACGCTTTAATAACCACCAGTTATGTAATAATTAATTAAAAAGGAGAACATCTACATATATAATTCTCTTCTGGGAGCCGTTAGAAAACAAGCTGCAACCTCGCCTTACAGTCCCCTCTCTTCCTCTCTATTGCTACCACCCTGGGTTGCCTGGTTTTTTGAGACGATGTTTGACGTATGGAATGGGGAAGTAAAATCGTTTTAAATAATGTTGATCGTTGTTCATGGATGACTGTTGCCCAGAGTTTCTTCCAGGCATCTCTTCGGGGGGGCGAAGCCCCCCCGAAAATTTTTTACCGCCCCCCCGAACGAAATGAAATTTATATATTTTATATAGAAAATATATACTTTTAACAGTGTCCGCCCCCCCGAAGAAAGTTTACCGCCCCCCCGAAAATTTCAAGTGCCCCCCCGAAGAAAAAAGTCTGGAAGAAACACTGCTGTTGCCTGATACTAAATTAATAGCAGCCTCTAAGTAGGTTACCAACCTGCTCAATAAAACCTGCATGAGCCACAGAACTGGTTAGTGACCTACTTACCAGCCCTATAGGAGTAGTCACCATTTAGATTCACCCCCCCCCATCACAATACCTACCTATTCCTATCTATTTTATTTTATTTTAATCCCCCCCCCCCCAATCCCGTTTTCCCGGCGTTCTCATGGCAACAATGTCCTGCTTATGTCATTGGTCAAGTTGCTGAGTGGTCAGACGCGGTAACTTGTTAATTAAACTCTTATTTTCAGGTATGTATGTTCATGAATTACCACGGCTATAGAAAATATCTACAGCAGTCTGGCGGTGACTTCTGTGATCAGCCCCGTATAATTGTAGTGAACCAAACTTTTTCAACCACGTAAAACTAGTCGTGGCATTCTTTATCAGTAGTTTATTAGTATCACTAGTATCAGTAGCTTGGCAAAACTCATTTTATATTGGTACAACGTGTTTCTGTTTGTTAACTGATTCCTCTGCACATAATTTAAAGATCAAATCTTTCCTATCAACTTTATGGGAAAGGTGTCACTCCCATCCACTTAAATAAAAGTTGCAGATTGTGCATATGTGCACAATATGCTTCGGCTCAGGGGTGGACTGGGCCGCAGGGAAAAATCCCGGTGTGTTGCATGATTGGTGGGTTCTGTTTTCAATGTGTTTATTTAATGAACCTAAATGTTAGGGCCTTGTCCTGACTTGGCAGCTTGTGTACCCCGACTACTTTTTTTTTAAAGGTCAATGTGGAAGGGCAATACCCCCCATCTACGGGAGGGCAATACCCCCATCTATGGGAGGGCAATACCCACCATCTATGGGAGGGCAATACTCCATCTATGGGAGGGCAATACCCCCATCTATGGGAGGGCTATACCCCCCATCTATGGGAGGGCAATACCCCATCTATGGGAGGGCAATACCCCCCATCTATGGGAGGGCAATACCCCCCATCTATGGGAGGGCAATACCCCATCTAAGGGGTCGTCCATAAATGACGTCACACTCGTAGGGGAGGGGGGGTCCGTAATTTTGTGACGGTGTGTGATGAGGGGGGGGGGGCTTCAGGTCGTGCGACGTCACACTTCAACTCACTGCGCCCGATGTGAGGTCCACGGCCCTGTCACTCCGGAGCAAAATTGGGATTTTCTACACAAATGTCAAGTGGGGGGGGGGGGGGGCTGGCTTTTTGTGACGATGTGTGACGGAGGAAGGGGGCTGGAAGGTAAAAGCCCTAAAAAAAACGTGACGTCATTTATGGATGACCCCCTAAAACAGAACCTGTCTACCCCACAGGAAGAGTTTCTTCCAGGCATCCCCCCCCCCCCCCGAACGAAATGAAATTTATATAATTTATATAGAAAATATATACTTTTTACAGTGTCCCCCCCCCCCCCAAGAAAGTCTACCCCCCCCCCCCCCCCGGAGAAAAAAGTCTGGAAGAAACACTGCCCACATGTCACAATGTCCGCTTGTTTGAGTTCATGTGTAGATTTGTGGTCAAGTTTAAAGATTAAATTAAAGATTAATTTAATGATAACTTAATTGATTTTTTTTTCAAAAAGGGAGATAAAATCGATCGTTGTATTATTAGAAAGTGTACAGCGACAGATCTTACAAAGAGGCTTATCACTACAAGAGATAGACCGGGTTTGAAGTTACATCTAATTAATTTTTAATATCGCAAGCGAGTGATCTGCCTTTGAAAGAGATGCATTTAACGTTAAGTGCTGTGCTGTGTAGCTTTGATTAAGAGCGTAAGCGGTCGGGATCAGAGTTTCTTTCAGGCATCTCTTCCTTCTCATGCCCAGTGTTTCTTCCTGACTTTTTTCTCCGGGGGGGGGGGGGCACTTAACATTTTTTTGGGGGGGGGGGGGGTGGTAGACTTTCTTCGGAGATGCTTGGAAGAAACTCTGCTCACGCGCTGAACGAAACGGCAAATAATTGTTAAAATGTAGAAGCAAATTCTTTAACAAGTGTCGCCCCCACGAGAATTGTAGTCCACCCGTCCCGTGAAAAAAAAATATATAAATGAAAATATAAATAAAATAAACCTGAAGTGATCTCCCGTCTCCCCTTAACTTTCTCGAATATTCTTATATAACACTACGGGAGATGGCATATCACGATATAGACATGATTTTTAATCCATTTGTAATAATGTTACTTTTTAAAATAGAATAAAATCTCGTAGCACATCAAATAATAAATTCCCAAAAAAACTGCTGGCTTGGACGTGCGAGACAACACAGCCTCTGCCGTGACCAGGATTCGAACCTGGGTTGTCGCGGCCACAACGCGAAGTACTAACCACTATACGATCACGGCCAGTACGCCAGCTTGTCAAATCGCGAAATTGAATTATTATATACCTTTTTTATTATTTTGTCAAATAATGTATTATTTAATTATAAAATTGAATCATATTTTTTACAACATAATTTTCATTGCGAAAAACACAGTATAACTCATTTACTTTATATTTTTATAAGTAGTTTTTAAATGCCTAGGCCTAATGTATTAAAATCAGATCATAGATGCCAGAAAAGCATGCCAGTTATTAATTTTTCTGGTTTAATATTTTCAAAACAACAATTGAATTCTTACTTGAAAATATCGTCATAATAGTCACAATCAGATAAAATGAATTTACTAAAATTACTGTTTGAAGAAAATTACACTCTTGCTACGGTAAATATATTACTTTCTAAAACGTGTTTAATGATGCTTTATGAAAATCTTGATAAAGCCTGGCCATCCCCAGATACACGCTTAATCTTCGAAATGGCGCAGACTGGAACGTACCGCGAAGAATTAGAAAATGAACTCAAACAAACAGACCCAAATTCGCATTCAAATAGGCTAATTGCACAAGGTATTATTTAAACACAAAATCATATAAACTGCTTAATTGTTAACCACTAGAATAGTGCGTTTAAATCCAAAGAGGCCATGATCAGCTAGAGCTAGATTTCTAGGCATGGCCAGTCTTTGTTGTTTTAATTAGGGACTTGGATGAAATTTCAATTTAAAAAAAAAATAATGTAGTAGCACCAGTTTATAGAGCTCATTTAGACAAGAACAAAGATACTTTTATTTTAATTTTAGCTCAAACGGTTACGGAGTTATGAATTTTTAACGTATTTAATTTTCGGGTTTTTTTACTATAACTATGGGGTTTTCTCAATTTTTTGCTTCCCTACTTTTTTGGATGCGAACTAAAATCTCTGTAACTTTTTAAATAGCAGGTATTTTTTAATGAAAATTCACTAAGATCAAGCTTATGATATCAGTAAAAGAGTAAGATAAAAATAATTGAAGTGGATGAGAATGATCATAAAAAATAATAGTCGATCTCCTTACCAAAACCGGAAGTCAGAACCTGACCCTGAAACGTCATGCTCTTTTAGTTTTCGCATTTTAAGTGTTTTTGGGGGGTCCTATATACAAAAAACGAAAAAACTGCTAATCTAGCAATATCTCATTACTATTTTAATGCGAAATGCTAAGGAAATGGATACTATGGCTTAAATGCCAGAAACATTTGCGAGATATGTAGTAATAATTAATACAAGCATTTCTTATGGAGCACTCTCATTAGGAACTGAACTGCAACGAAAAACGACCGACCTCCGGGCATCAGCGCTCGACAGCTCCTAGATAAATATATATTTGAGATATTTAGGGTAAAGGAGGGCGTTAAGAGCCGTGTGGTATTAAGCCCCAATCAACACCCCACCCCCACAAAACCCCCAATATCACTGCTAATCTACTTCTGAGGTAACAACCACTGCTGTTCTTTGATAACAGAGAAGCAGAGGATTCATTTTATGTAATTTATGACCCACTTGGTCCAATAGGGAGAGGATGAGACAGGATTTAATCCCACTGCTCTTTCCCTAAAATTTCTCATCTCCATAAAACCATTTTGTGAACTTTTTTTCCAAATAGACATAACTTGGGAAACTTCACTTTGTAATAAACCAAATGAGTTTTTCAAGCCCATTCTTTGTTCCTGTAATAGAGCATTGGTTGTTGTATATTTTAACACTATTTTTATAGCTATGGCTAGAATAGTTTTATTTTGGTGAATTTTTTTTGCACACTGATTATTGGTGTCAAAACAAAATGGCAGACATTTGTCCCATTTTACCATGCTATGAAGTTTTTATCATTATCAGAGTAAAACTTGACTGATCATTACCATAATGGTTTTATTTGTTAGATAATAACTAAATCTACATGAATACATTAATTTTGTCCACTAGCTTGCCTCTTTAGAAAAGTTATAACAGATACTGTTATGTGGCTCTTGAAACCCTATGTGCAAGTTTCTCATTTATTAGACCACTGAATATGACACTGGTATAGGAATAGTTAACACAAAATGTATTTACTGTTAAACAGACTTGTGTCTAACTGATAGGACTACAATTCTAACCTGCTAAAAAGTAAAAATTCAGCCATCTGATGTTAGCAAGGTAATTTTTAAAATGGTACATGTACTTATTACCCCTAAGGGGCAATACAGCCGACTCAGCCCCCACCTGTTTCTAACCAACCATAAAACTTCTAATCTCTTTGTAGGTAACAGGAATAAATGTTCTTAGGTCTCAGCCAATCTGGGGTGGTATGTTATGTAATTTATCACCCTCATGGTCCAGCAGGGAAGTAAACAGACACATTAATACCACTGCTCCCCCCTTACAATTTCTTACCACCATGATACCCAGCCCCCACCAGTTTCTGGCCAACCATAAAACTTCATCTCTTTGTCAGTAACATGGATTACAGTTACAGATCTCAGACAATCTGGGGTGGCATGTTATGTAATATATGACCTTCATGGTCTAGCAGGGTTGAGACCAAAGAGGAATCAGTACCACTGCTCTCCCCTCACAATTTCTCACCTCCTTGATAGCCAGACCCCACCTGTATCCAACCCACCATAAAACTTCATCTCTTTGTAGGTAACATGGACTTAGTTCTTAGATCTCAGCCAACCAGAGATAGCATCTCCTTATGTAATTTATGGCCCTCAAGGTCCAGCAAGGAGAAAAAAGGGGAAACCAGTACCACTGCTCTCCCCTCACAATTTCTCACCCCCATGATACCCAGCCCCCACCTGTATCTAACCCACCATAAAACTAATCCCTTTGTAGTTAGCATGGACTTAGTTCTTAGATCTCAGCCAACCAGAGATAGCATCTCCTTATGTAATTTATGGCCCTCAGGGTCCAGCAAGGAGAACAAAGGGGAAACCAGTACCACTGCTCTCCCCTCAACATTTCTCACCTCCATGTCATGTTATGTAATGTATAGCACACATGGCTTATCAGGGGAAAGCATTAAGGCAGATTAGTTAGTACCACCCCTTTTTACATACAAGAATGTTAACTCTGGACAGCTACACACTAGTATACTAGCTACACACTAGGCATACTAATGTGCCTACTGTAAACCACTAGACTTTAGGCACTATGTACACCTGCAATTGTATCAATTGTAGACTGGGCCCTTTGGGGCCTAGTGATAGCTAGTATCAGTTAAAGTATGTGTGCACAGCATTAACTATTTTGGGGTTAGAAATTAATTATTTTTATTGCAGAGTTAGTCTAAACTAGGAGATAATACTTATTGCCCCATTGCCCGGCTCCTTTCACCCCAAATGCTGATTTTGGGGGTATGACAATAAATGTTCAATTAAACCCTCATTTAAAGTATATTTAATAGACTTTGTTATTATTTTTATATTGTGTAAGATATGTTAGAATAATTTTGCCATATTTTCAATACTAAAAAATTCTTAGATTAGTAGAAATCTTTAAAAATGTACAGGTGCTAAAAAGTGTGGCTCTTAACGCCCTCCTTTACCCTACCATGATTAATTACAATGATGCTGCTTCCCTTCTTCCTAAATTCAATTCCCCATAGAAATACCATGCCGCTGCTATTTTTAGCAACGTTACGCCATTGTTACGCTAGTTGTCAGATAGAAACAACTAATTTTTGTTTTTTGCGGAATGCACTGTTAAGTCTAGTATTTTAATTATAATTCAGTTTTAGCATGTGCAGAAATTGTGGGCATTATTATTGTATTAAAGTATTAGTAATTTTATAAGTATATTGATTTTTTTTCTTCACTGCAAGCCAAGTAGGCCGACTGCACTGTTAGTTTCATTGAACATAATTCGTGACCGGTCATTAACCTTGTTAATATTAATACTTCGTGGCCTACCCGACTGTATCATTTATATGAAATTATATGTAGTTTTTAATTAGGCCTTAGTATTGTATTTTAAACAATGCTCATTCCGAGCCTTTTTGTGCTAGATCTAATTAGGCCTACTGGCTTTTTTTTTTTTTTTTAGACTTGGTCAACCTCGTTAATGCTGTTGTGTTAGTTAAAAATATAGGTATTGTGTGTAAAATTTACGCAGTTACTCAGTTACTACGTAGAATGATATCAATAAATGAAGTAGTAATTATTTCCTTTTAGTTTTAACAATCTTTTGATACAAAATGTCTAATATTTTATTTTCCAATATATCGTGGTGTGTAGCAGAGTAAACAGAACGGTGCGGTAGGTGACCTAGAATCTCCGAGTTCGAATCCGACGTAAATCAGTTGTGCTTTATTTTATTGTTTCACATGGGAAATGCCACGAGCGGTTTTATTTTCTTTCTTTTTCAAAAAAATTTTTTTGAACGAAATATTTTATAAAATAATTATTCAAAATTTTCCAAACATCGTCGCTCGCATCGCTCGCGAGATCGACTGCTTACATTTTCTTGTCTGCGGGAGAAAAATGTTGATACGGTCGAGGGTTCACCGTGAGTTCAGCAGGCCTACCATACATACGTCACAGCATTAACTAATGCTGGTAGAGATCGTCGGTGGGCAATCCCACCCCTCCCCTCATAAACCAAGCAAATTGTAAATCAACTTAGGGTCATTTTAAGTTCACGCAAGCTTACAGGACTGTAGATTTACTACGCATAGCTGGTAAAAAAAAAAAAAAAAAAAAAAACTTCGCCTAACCTAATGCTACTACAGAAGAGAATATTAATTATAGAGTATTTAATTTTAAAGTTAAAAAAAAAGTTTATTTATCATCTTACCTAATAATACTGTATTGTCGTTACAGTTAGAAGGACTAGATCTAGATTTCTGTCAGATCTATTTTTAGTTTTGGATATTAATTTTATTGTCATCTTCATGGGTATTGATTGTTCAATTCATCATGGAATGTCTAATGTCTTAAATTGTACATTGTACATAGAATTTATAATAAATATGTCTGATATTTCCTTAATAAACATAATGAATATAAAGTTTTATTTCTAACAAAATGTTTTGGTTTTTTTTGGTAACTAAAATACCCAATGTTGTCGTAATTGCTATGACATCATGCTACGAATGGAAAACACAAACCAACGTAACTTTTTGATATCTTTTGATGGCGAAAAAGAGTTTCGCATTTTAAGATGTTAATAGGTCATTTTGTTTTTGTTTGTTTTCTCGGCCCCTAATTAAGCTAGACCATTAAATTTGATCTCAAATTAACCAGTAAGTGATATGGTTTGTAATGATATATGATAAGTGACAGAAAATTTTAATTAAAAAATTGTAATAAGACAACCTAAAAAATAATGTTAACAAAGAGGGTCACCCCCCTAAAATTTTTGAAAAAGCGTCTTTGATAGGCAACACACAATCTGTTGTCAAATTTTTATTATATGGAATATCTTACTGAAAATTGGCCTGAATAGTGCCAACACTGTATACATTAACAGAAAGTCAAAATATTTTACTTAGCTTATGTTGTTTTTATTACAATGTTGGACAAAATAAAAGTCATTTTTATTCGGCGCA